GGTCATGAATCATCTTCTGACGAGAGTTGAAAGTCTGTTTCATGTTCCTCATAACAGTCTCTTCATCAGCTGTGTGCTTCATCAGTGATTGCACTGATGAAGCACACAGCTGATGAAGAGACTGTTATGAACACAAGCGATCTGTCAGAAGATAGTCTTCTTCTCTCAAACAGTCTCTCTTATCAGTTGTTGGTCCCCCTAAAAAAATATATATGTGAGACTCCATGTTAGGATTCATAAATAAGGCTTGGGAACTTATTGTGCAGTTTGGTTGCAGGATGAAATGTGTACAAATATAAATCCATATACCTGTTTGGGTTTGTGACAGTCTGGGGACATTTTTTTGTCCATTAGAAGCTTCCCTCTGTACAAACTTCAGTCTCCAAGCCAAATACCCACTTCCATCTTCTGCATTGTAATAATGCTCCTAAAAGTAGGTGAATGACAAATGTTTTTAAAGTTGTCAAAACAAAGACAACCGTGACAACTTACACAATTTGCATATAAAGCACAACTTGAATTCTGTTTTTTTTTTTTATTTTATCGTTGCTCTACGAGCTGCAACCCTAGGATTCACTAAAATAATACTATGCTAGTAATTTCAAGAGCAGTTACTAGCATAGCCTTCTCGCGCTTTTTTCTGGGCGGAATACTGACTCCACATGCTAGCAGAGCTAGCTCCGACAGTACAGCTCAGTCTCTCAGCTTAAAAATAGCGACAGCCTCGACTTGTGAAAATATAATAATGGACGAAGCATTGGACAGCACTGATGTTTTTTCTGCTTACATTGCTGTAAACTGCTAAATTAAGATAGCTGAAGTACACATGCTAACTAGTTAGCCAACCATGTTAATTCCTCGCTGCATCCCTCCTTCCCCCACAACCATACAGCAGCACCTTATCACACCTTTAGTCTTAATAATATATATATATATATATATATATATATATATATATATATATATATATATATATATATATATATATATATATATATATATATATATATATATATATATATATATATAACCCGTTTGGGAACTTACCTGGCACATAGCTAACCGTCGCCTCCGTTTCCACTGCGGGATGACAAGATGGCGGAAGAAACGAAACTTAAGGAACTTCAGTGGGCGTGGTCTTGTTTTACTCCGATATAATTTCCTCTATTTTTTTACTCCGATTCTATTGACCAACTGAAATGATTTCACTCTCTAATGTATAAATTTGACTCTTTTTGATGAAAATAATGTTAACTCCGAAAAAATTACTCTCCTATTTTTCCTGTGTAGCAGGCTTAGTGGAAACTCTGCTTCCTCATGCGTACGGACTAAATGGAGAAAAAAAAAACTGGTTCATACACACACAGCAGAGATAAAGTACTCCACTTGCATTAGAAAAACTTAACATTTGTACAGTAGAAGGGGAATTAATAATTTCCTTTTAAGTTGGCTCCTGAAACATCACACAAAGTCCGGTTCAAAAAGCAAGGCTTGTGACTGATGTGGTCAGAGCGATTGCTGGGGGACCGAAATAGAAGATCAGGGATCAACAGCTGAAGAGCCGCTCAGATTCTCTTTGGGTCTGTCTGACAAAGCCGCCTTGACTATATTCTCACTCTCATAAAACCCCACGGCCTCCCTCAATGTTTTAAAGCCTCAAAACCACATCGCCACCTCCAGCGTGGTTAAACACACACAGAGTTTGTACAGTGTGCTAATACCTTCTTCCCCTGGCCTCTACAGCTGGCTCTATAAAACCAGCTTTCCTGCCCTGAGCCATTCCCATGCTCCCATTGTGAAGCAGGGATTGCAGTCTCCCTTTTTTTTTTTTAAATCCCACAGTGGCAGACAGTATAAATGAAGTCGCTTCCCAGCCTTAAGCGCAGCGCATAACACCCTAATAACTTTCTGGATGTCTCGGCTGAATTAGCTCGGGCTGCGTCTCGTCGGTGGGTGAGTGCCAGCCGAGCAGAGCTAATGACAGCTAATGACTGTTTACAGTGACAGGATCGTTGTTATCCCCCCCGCCCGCCACCACCACCTTCCATATCCCACCCCCAGCTCTACAACTCCACAACTCCACCCTCATCCCCAGCTGTTATTATTATTATTACCACTCCACTGCTTTTGATAAGTCTCCACAGACACCCGTTTAAGTGCTGGCTTGATGAAAAGCTCTCTCAGTTCCAAGCGTTTATGCCAAAATTATGTTTTTCTTCTTCTTCTTCTCACTTTGTTTAAGTGAGATGGGAGTCAGAAAAGTGTGTACTGACGTGCAAGTATCTTAACACTCTTGCCAGCTTCTCGTGTGCGTGTGTGTCAGAGTGAACACGCCAGATGATGGAGAACAAATTGAAAATGAGATGGCTTGCAGAACCCACCGCCCAGCTGCCCGCCGCCCCCTCTGCTCAATTTATGCATGGATGTGTGTCCATGCGGTTGGTGTGTGTCTGGTTAATTTATTCAGGTTATTTTCTCATCTCCAGACCCATGCAAATGAGACTGAGTAGAGAAAGATGACAAATGTCGAGATGGAAACAGACAGCCCCATTTCTGCATTTTTCCCGCAACACCTTCTTCCCTTTTTTGTTGCTGGTTTGTTTTTCCACTTGGTTTCTGTTGTTTACGTCCTCGCAAAATCCCACTTTTGATTTGAGAACGTTGATTTGGATCCATCTCGGGAGGTAGTAAAAAACCAAAAATAATTCCTGATTTGTACTTTTACTTTTTGAGATGATCAGACTGTAGGAACGTTTCATTGGCAATCCATGACTTCGTGTTTTAGAATCTAAATGTTACGTGTTATCTGTGACGCTCTTAAAATTGAAGATGCAAAGGAAATGCCATTCAAGTGAAGTAGACATCCACTGATTTGAAATAACTTCTTGCATTAACTTGACCACACCAGAAAATGAAATCATTTTCAATTGAGTCACTTCCACTTTGTCACTTCTGACCAGATGTAAGCAGATTATTCCGATTATTTTTTATTAGCCACCCTGCGTTGGCAGAGCAAACTGGTGGTGTTTGTTTTCATCTTCCTATCTATCATGTGCTTCCATGCTACTCTTTCAAAGCACAGAAGGAGATTTTACAATTCCACCATCTATCTAAGGATTAACTGAGGAAAATGTGAGCCCATCTCTTAAAAAAATTTATGCTGAAGCAGAACTGGACTCTGCAACAAAATGGCCCAATACTTGCCAGATAATCCAGTAATAACTGAAAAGCTGTAAAATGGTATCTTCTAGTTTAGTTAAAGCCTAGCTCTTATATCAAAATGCTGATGGATCATGGTTAAAAGTGTGGAAAGGGGACAAACCTTCCTCACACTGATGGAAAAGCAACAAGAAATAAACATCTCACTTAAGTTATCTAGGCCAGCTAGCGGTTAGCTTCCTTCATCTGTAAACATAAGTTTGCTAAAGTCTTCTGTTTAATGAGTACAGTAAGGTTCTATTTTGTTTCCAGAGCTAAAAAAAAAAGAAAAATATGTGAACATTTCTTCAGTTTTACTAATAGTCTCGTGTTTACAATTGGTTTGGCTAATTGTTAACTTTGCTGCTGTGTTTTAAATGCCCATCAGTGTTGGATAGTGTTGTTGGAAGAACTAGTGTTGGAAGAGCTTTATTCAGGACTGAAATAAAAGCTCTGCATGTGTGCAGTTTAAGTCTTTACAAGCAGAGAATGCTGGAGCGCCATAGCCAGAGGCAAAGTGTAGAATCATTATTTTAAATAAATTTGGTAAATTTGACGATTTTTGCTATTATTTTTTTTCTTTTCCTTAAATGGCAACTGGTTGTCAAAACAGCCTTTGCTGTCCTACCATCACAGAAGTCAACATGTTGCATTTATTGCACATTAGGGGGATTTTAACTGAGCTTTTTGCCAGCAAGCCACCCCAGTTTCATTTGGAATAAAACAAATCAAGAATTAGTGGAAAAGCTCTGTTATGTACAGTGGCAGATTTGTGAGGCAGTGCGCGTGCATGGCATCGTAAACTTTTTGAAATACCAGCTTTCAGGTGGAAATGAACAGAGAAATTATTCATTACAAACAAAACCAACACATGGAATCCAGTAGAAAGTCTGCGCGGCGACTGTGCCAGCGCAGATTTAGATAAAAATAAACATTTCTAAAAATTACTGAATAAAATTTAAAATAACGGACTAATTTTAATCTTAATGCCTATGTGAGATTACGCTTCTGTAATCCAAAACAAAAAAGGAATTAATTTGAAGGCTTTCAACGCATCTTTACAAGAGGTGCCAAAAAATTTCAGAGCATCTGACGTGTTCAGTTTAAAGCTTGCTACTCTATATAAAGCCTTAATCATCACAATGCTCTGACCTCAGGAGGGACCCTCTCACCGTTGTCGGCAAATTTGCTGCGACGGTTTGTTTCCATACGATAAGCTTCCCCCTAACCATTTCCACTAAGCTGAACAGGTTTTCCTTCCATTATGTCTGGTAATAAGGGACCAGGTCTGCACTCACAATTGCTTGCTGATACCACACACGTAAACAAACAAGCAGGGTGATAGCATTGTCTCCCGGCCTTTCTGTAGGATGGTGTCTGTTTGTGTCGGTGTGAACGTATTAAACTCCGCTCTGCATTAATATGGATGGGAGAATGTTCAGATGAATCTTTGCGAGCCTGTGTTTTCCAAAAGCCAGACTGCCGGTGACAGTGAGGACACAGGCTCATAGCTCTGGTGTAATTGGTTTCAGATTTAGCGTGAAGATGCCATGTGTTGTTGTTCAGTGGGAATTATCATAATGAAACGTGCTCCCTCTTTGTTCCTTTACGCCTTTTGGCCCTTTTTTTTTTTCTTCTTCCCTCCACCTACTTTCTGTTCCAGCTTTTTTGCCTCATCTTTTGTAAGTGTCCCCATAATTGTTTTGACCATGCATATTTCCCATTAACCCTACTTGTCTAACCCTGTTGTTCCTCACCCCTCCACCCCCAAACTCTCCTCCCTCGACCCATTCTCCCTACAGAGGTGTCGGTGTCGTCTGTGCTCTGCCTGTCGTCTGTCAGAGAGCTGCCAGTTCAGGTCAGGGAACTGTACGCTCAGGGCTTTGTCCTGGTGGCAGTCCACCCCTTCGTCCATCCCTGTGGCCCTCGCCATGCTCACATCCAGCGCCAGCTCCACCGGGCCGTGTTGGTCCGAGAGACACAAAGGTGAGAAGCTCAAACGCACCCCTGTTTTGTTTGGGATTCCTCCACCCCGCCCCCCCCCGAGCATCATTACCACCTTCGCTTAAGAAAGTGGTTTGAACTGTAAATATCACCACTGTGGGCTGATTAAGATAAATGAGATGATTAGCTTGCAGCCAGATTTAGCTAACAATTAGAGGGTGCCTGCTGGTGCGACTTCATTGTTTTGACACCAGAGCCAACAGAGACTCATTATCACAAGCCTCCTCACCTTCTTTTGTTAATGTAAAATTAATCGTGGGCGATTCAGCCTCTTAAAGCGGTTGGGTTTAGCTCCCTATCCCAATTCTTTCACTTTTTTTTGTGTCAACACAACTGATAGCTACACTATATAGCAAATGTGTCAAACTAAAGCCCTGGGGGCCAAATGCGGCCCGCCGTAACTTTTAGTATGGTCCTCTAAAACCTAGAATACCACCAGTTGTTTGTGTAAGTATTACATCAATCAAATTAAAGCAGTTTTCATTTGCATACTACCAAATTACCTCAGTGTGAAAGACGTTTTATATTATTTACCTTTAAGAAGCAGTGGTGTGCAGAAAAAATTGCGGGGCAGATGCTCAGGTATTTAAAAGAAGGGCATCTTGTGTGGCACTTTAAAGGGCCATGTAGGGTCTATCTGTGCACAGCTCTGTTATGAATTACTCATTGAGTGTGTCATATTTTGGCAGTTTAACAGGATTTTTCAAATCATTCATCCATAACCGGCCCTTTGAGTACATTCATAATCTTGATTATTTCATCTACAGTTTTTGTATACAGCAGTTTGATTTTTAGGATGTATTCAACTCAAGTTTTGTTTTTTGTGTTTTTTTTCTAAAAATTAATCTAGCCTAGATTAAAAAAAAAAAGTCCACAGAGGCAGAAAGATCTGCACAGGAAGTTGCAGGTGTCAGGAACGACCCCTTTGGTGGCGAGATGGAGGAAAGGTTCTGATTATAGTGAATTCAATAATGAAAAGACTGAGCAAAATAGACGGGGAGTCACAGATGGAACACAAACTCACGTGGAATTTTACAGAAAAACTCAAAGGCATGAGGTTGATTGCTTGCTGCAGAACAGGTGAGTCTGATTAACTGACTGCAGCTGTGGAGAAAGGAAGGAGCTAGAAATAACAGAGGGGATTGGCTGGGAAATGATCTAGATGAATACAGAAAGAAACCCGGGGATACAGCTGATTCTAACAAAACAAAGTCAAAAAGCCGATTGAGGAAAAGTTAGACGTGACCAATTCATAATATGTTCAGGGAGACTTCTCATGATGAAGGAGATGCGTGAATATCTCAATGGTATTAGCTGTATTGTACATGTGACAACACACTCCTTTATTTTCCATAGGTCTGAATTGAGTAACAGAAGCTTTTTTTTCCAAAGAAAAAAATCATATATTGGCTAAAATCCCTCAAAACCTTATGGAAGGATGCTGTAATCAGATGAAACTAAACTTGAAATTTTAGACCACAATTCTGAAAGTTGCAAAACTAGCACTGCTCAGTGCCTGATAGAACACAATAACCAGAGTAAAGCATGGTGGTGGTAGTATCATGTTCTGGGGAAAATAACCCCAGAACATGATGGGAGACGCTGAAGTAAAGACTGAATGTTAAGCCTGAATCTAAAGCTGCTTCAACAAACCACGTGTTTGTTGAAGTGGCTTTAGAGTTGACTGGATCACAGTAGTGAGACTGAAGAAATGGATAAATGTTGACTCAAATTTCTTGTAAAACTTGAAGAAAGTAGGAGAAGAAGTCTGGATTACTGCAATGCATGCACGTCTTGCTGGTAATCAGACAGTTTGTTTTGGCAGATTCAGTACAAATCTGGTTGTACTGAATCAACCAATAGTAGGTCTTCAGCATTCTCAGCATTTCAACCTGCTACAAACGGAGGAGAATACGTTGGCATGCTAGCTTTCTGGGATTTCATTTTAAAATTCATATTGAAGTCCCTTTAGGATGTTTTTTTTATGTCTCTTAAAAGTTGTGCCCATAAATTTAGCATATATGAATCCCTTCTTGTTCTCTCAGATCAATGGATCAGATGCTGTTGATCATTCTAAAACACAATTCAAGGTTCAAAACTTTGAAGCACCTTGGCACTAGGCACTTGAATCTAATTTGGGAACTTATTTTGACTTCTTGCTTAAGGTATCTCTATTATGCTACTGGGTTTTATTCCAATGTAATTTTATATCATTTTAATGTCGTAATTTAAGAGTGCAAACATTTGCTGTTCACTTTATTTGTAGTGATTCTAAAACTATGACGTCTAGATTACTTGCACTGATTTCCTCGCATGCCAACTCTTCCTGTTGTCTGTATTATGGTTTAACAAATCTTTTACGTTTGATTTTCCTTAAACGTGTTGACCTTTTCCCCCTCTGCATTTACTAAAACCCCTTCCAAAAAGCAAGTAGGTGTTGAAAATGGATGGATGGATGAGTGGATTTACTGAAACAATTTTATGATGTTTTCAAAACCTACTTAAAGAACTTCTGAACATCATTCCAAGCATAACAGATGCCACTGTAATAAAATCTGTGAAAAAAGAAGGCATCCCTGGTGATCAAAATGGGGTTTTATTCTTCGATTTTATGTTGTTTGTGTGATTTTCTTTTTACAATCAAAGGATTTAATGTGCTTGGTTAACAGCTTTAGACATTACTGTAAATTATGTTAATTTAAGTTGTATGCACACTCAAACACTCAGCACATAGATAGGTGCCAGGCTGCTCCTCTGATGCCCCTCCTGCCAAGCTGTCCTGCTGCTTCCTGGCACCTGTCACTGTGGAGACGGCTGATTGCATCACCAGAGCTTGCCAGAGGGGAACATCGCACTGAAAGAGAGTCCATCTCTCCATCCTTTCATCTGTTTCCTTTTAGCGACCATCCCATGCACACGCACACACACACTCTTTTTTTACCCCCTCTTTTGTCCTGATCACCCCTCTTTGTCCCCTTTACGCTGCCTTTTATCTCGCTGTCATCACCATCCCTTTCATCAAAACCACAAAAATGAAAGAGGGAAAAAAATAAAATAAAAAGATAGCTCTACTGTTTCAAATCTAGTCGAGAATGTCACTCACGCCTCAGAGCACAAGATATTACTACGGCCTTCCCACTGACCTCAATCCAAATCTGAAGAGGCGTATCTGAATGCACCTTTCATGATGGTGCCTTGCACTGGGAGCAAAAGGAAATTTGGTTCTTTTTTTCTGTCTAATAAGGTTTTGTGCCCGTGGTAAATGGGTGCTCCCCTTAAATGGAAAATTCCCCTTCCATCAGATTTGACATTACATTTCTGCTGTGATCCTTCTGGGTCAACAAGTGTTCGTGAACATGAGCACGGCTCCCAGAATCTCTAGAGCCCCCTGATGAGTGTAATGTTACTGGTGATGTGCAGTAACTACTAAAGGAAGAGAGGAAAATGACGCTAAGGCACTTTTTGGTCTGGTGCATCTTGACATTTTCGGGTAAATAAGACAGTATTTGACCTGAGGTAAATGACATATGACCATCTTCTTTTCATGTCTCGCCTCCCAGTCCAGAGAAAAGCCAGCTGAGGTGGGCGAGAAACCGTCTGGAGACGGAGGTCTGTGTGGCCAGTCAACAGGCTGCTGACCCGGAAGCCATCCAGAACTATGTTAAGAAGGTTGGATTCATTTGGTTTTATGTTGTTTTCTTGTATTATGATAGTGATAAAAACACTTCTGAAATTTCAGATTATTATGTACAGTATATGGCTATTTAACCATATACTGATGTTGTTTTTATGTCCAGGGAAAAAAAGCATAAATCTGCCTTTTTATGCATTAAATAAAATATATAAACTTAAATCGAACTGATCAAGAACAGAATAGTATATCCTGGGACTGTCTTCGGTGTGCTGAAGCTGGTAAATAATAAACGGTTGGACTAGTTAAAAAGGGAGTTAAAGTATAATGGCAAGTAAAGCGTCATTATTGGAAGAAATAAAGCTTTGACAAAGCCTTGAGTCTTTTCTTTAAATTTAGCTTTTTTTCCCTTTTTTTTTTGAAGTGATGTAGTAAAAGGTTTTTGAGACATTGTTTTCCAATCCTTTTACCAGGACATTTTTAGTTTTCCTTTTGGTACATGTAAGCCACTCAACCCTGGTCTTTAATTCGTTTAAGCATAAAAAAGCCTCTTTTTGAGCACATGTACTTTTTTTTTTTGTCACCACACAATTGATACAAAGAATTTAAAAGTGGATTTTAGATTCCACTTTTAAATTGCAATTGAACCTTCCTTGAACTAACTAAATAATTTGTTTTTCTTTTACTGCATCCATTTAACAAAAAGGGACAAAAACTATAAGGGAGTTTTTTTTTCAGCACCAAGTTGATTATCAAGGAGCTATTTGTGTGGTTTGCAGTATGTCTTCATTTTTGTGTGGGGGTCAGGGATTATATCGGCTACTAGGACTGGAGGAAAACTTTTCCCCACAATCCCAGAAATCCTTAGAGATTGGTAGATGACGACAAGAACTCAGCCTGAGGTTATTTTAGTCAAAGTTGGTGAGGTTAGTCATTAATGAACCTCAGAAGGAGTTTCATAACTTATTCCTCACCTGATATATTTTATATATCTGGTGATTTAAGACATCATCTATCAATATATGGAAATTTCTCAATCAATAATTTTATATTTAATGGGCTCTCATGTTTTGTTTTTTTTTCATAAAACTTTAGTGTAAAACAAATTGAATGAATTGGCATTTTCTGTTTGATGTGGACTTAATTATGAAGGAAAGACGCAAATTTGTAACACATCTAGTACATTAAAATGACGTTATGTTAATGAAGTCATTATAATGTTTTCAAAAGTTATAGAAAGTGTTACTCTATGTCACAACCTTCCTTTGTCTGTTTCTGTAACTCATGATGACTTGACCAGCTTGGGCTGAGAGTTTGTTGATCTTTAAACAGTCTGAGTGCCCCCTTGTGGTTTGAATAAATATTATACAATTAAATTTAAAAAAACAATCAAGAAAAGGTTGGTTTCCTTGCCTTGGCGACTCCTCCAGGCATTCAGCGTGTAGATGTGAGTGTATCTTTATCAGCACAGACCGAGCTCTGCATAGGATAGCATGAGGTTATTAAGTCACATATTATTGTCATAAATTTGTGATATCAACATTCCTGTGTGTAGCATAGGCAAAACAAGGCAACTTTATTTATATAGCACCTTTCAGCCATAGACAATTCAAAGTGCTTGTACAAGAAAATTAAGGACTACATACAGTGAGAAGATAGTGAAAAAAAAAAAAATTTTTTTGAGCGCCATGACTCAGACACAGTGTCTGAGTCATGGCGATTTGCCAATGTTTTTGTGTCCAATACAGTCTGTCTAAGAAGGAAATCTAATTATGTATGATAAAGTATCAGATGTATAAAAAGTTAATGCTGAACTTTTAGTTTTGATGTAGGTTATTATGAAGGGATATTAAGAAATAAACAAGTGAAAAATCGACCAAAGCATTAAGAACTACTTTTTAAGACACCATCAACAAACTCAAGTCAAAGTCTTTGGTGGAAACGTAAAGAAAGTAGGTGTAGCTCAACACTTTTGCACAGTCTGCTGTTAAACTTCCTCTGCGTGTCCGCTCATGAATTCGCCAGCAGTCCTACATTGGGAAATGAAAATGTGCTCTATTGAATAGATTTGCATCTGAACACCCAGCGAGCACAAAGGAAAACCTGATTGGATGGAAATGCACATCACTGAGCATAATGTGATAGGCTCCGGCAGCGTGACATGAATAACCAATCAGATCGCAAGCTGCCAGTGAGTTTGTGATAAGAACCAAAGCAGACACAGAGAAGAGGGTGCATGGTTTATGTGTGTGTGTGTGTGTTTTGAAATCCTATACTTCTGTTTTTCCAGTGCCAAGCCAGCCCTGCCCACTCTTAGCATCCCTCTGGACGTAATGATCAGATAAACAAGAGCTGATCTCTGCAAATTGTGTCCGTGGGTGCTGGAGAAACCAGTTCAGAGTTGCAACCTGCGTGCACGGATGAGTGAAATGTCAAAAAGAGTGGGTGATAGGGGAAGATTTGCCTCATTATTGTTCCGCGGTAGTTCTGGAAATCTGATTTTCTCTCCCCTGTTGAGTCCGCCTGAAACTGTCAGCCCAAATATCAACTGACAATTAGCCGCTCGAGCTCGGTTAGAGAGAGGGGTTGGAGGAGGGTGAGCAAACACATGTGCCACATGAACGTGTACAGATAATGAGGTCCTTTTGTCATTTGAATATTTGATCTTTCCAGTTGATTAGGTGGGCTGTTATTATGAAGAATACCCACCTTGCGTCTGTCAGCCTTTGTTTGTGTGTAAATTAGTCTTTGTTTGTCGGGAATAAAAGGAGCCGACGCAGCAAATTCATTTGTGCCGCTGTGAAAAAATGCCCTTTCACACACAGAAAAAAAACAACTGCCAAAAAAAACAATGACTATTCAATATAGCCAGTGAACAGCCAAACATCCAAATAAAAGCAGAGCAGCAAATGAACAGGTAAAAGCTTGTCTTGTTTTAACTATCCCAGTGCAACCAGTTCTGACAGTTCAATTATTATTACAGGAAATAAAATGGATTCATATTTAAACAGCTCTTTTTTTCTAATTATTTTTTAATTCAGTGGCTGATTTTTCCTTATTGACCAACGTAGAGCTTCAGTCAGAAAGTATGCTTGACATCAGTTGAATGTAAACTGTTGCATTCTGGGTACAGAGCATTTGCTGGACTTCGTCACTGAACTGCTGCGTAAACAGTTTTCACCCACTTCAAAATGATGAATTATTAACAGTCTTAACTTCAACACGGATGCTGAATTTTATTGAAACTTTATTCAACTGAAAATTTTGAATTTATCCGGAAACAATTATTTAGTGGAGGCAAAGTGTGCTAAATATTTTTCATATGCTAAATTGAAGAGTTGAATAAAACAACTGACTAAATCAAAGTTTCACAAAAGTTGTATGTTGTTTTCCGTTGAATCTGTGATTTTTTTTTTTTTTTAAGAACTCTTCTGTTCACCATTAAATTTGGCTGATTCTGGAGTCTTCCTTTATCACCAATAAAGGAAGAATCAGCCATTGCTGCCTTCAACAATAGCTAACTGAGTCATTTGAGGAAAAATGGAATTAGATATCTGATAAATTACCATAAATATAGTTTTTTGTAGATCAGGATAAGCAAGTGTCCCAATTTGAAATCCAGAGGAAGCTCTTTTATCAAAGGGAAAGACCCATAACATCTCCACATACCAGATGATCTGTTAAATATGTGTGTGTGTGTGCTTTACAGATCCAGGATGTGGCAGAGCAAGGGGCGATGTTTGTGGGCTTTCTACAACAGCCGGGTGGAGGGCCGTATTTTTTGGGACACTGGGACCCAGAGGAGCTGTCGTCCTTGCATTCGAGCCCGTCACCAATACATCGGCAACCTTTCAGCACCAATACGAGCCCAACGGAGCCAAACCCGAATGGTGAAGATGCTGATCTCTGCTGCTGTGAATCACAAGAGTCGGATTATGAGGCTGTGGAGAGTGTCAAACAGGATCAAAACTCCTCAGCGTCCAGAAAACCAAACTTCAGCCTCCTGAAGCACCCGGTAAACTCTCCTCATAACCCAGAGGAACTTTGTGATCAAATAATAACCTCACAGATTGGCGCCAAGGACTTCAATAAACCTCATAATCACATCAAACCTGAAGCTCACAACATGGCAGAAGTCCAGGGCAAAAGGTCAAGTCTGAGCCTACCAGAAACAGCAGTCACGACGAGGCTACCAGAGTGTAGATCACAAGAGACTAAACAGCACTTCACTGCACCCAGAGAGAAACATCTTAATGTCTCCAAACAGAGAGAAAGGAGAGTTTCCAGCCCAGACAGCTGGCTCAGCTCTCCAGAGCTGGATCGTAACCATGACAGAAGATCTGACTCAACGCAGACAGATGGGCAAAGACGAGTGACTACACAGAACAACAACCACATCAGGCTGAAGAATTCTGGGAACGACACAGGTTCAAGCTCACCGCCGGCACAGCCTAGTAAGTAAGCAGAGGGTTGTTATTTTGTTCCCCAATTCGACAGGCCCATCATCAGGGCTCACTCTCCACTTCATGTTTGCTGATTATTTGCCTGTGCGTCTGCAGGGATGCAGCTGTTTGCACTGTACAACCACACAGGAGAGCCCGACATGTCCCTGAGGTTCTACTCTCTCAGGGTACCTCTTCATGTTCAAAAGGAGGCGGAGGCAATCACAGACGTAGATGCAAACTGGCTCGACCACATGACTCAGCACTTCAGCAGCGGGGCGCAACTCATTGATGGGTTTTTCCACCTCACAGACGACCATGGTTTGTTCGCCGTAGTAAAAATGTTTTTGAAACACTTTATGTCCACTGTTAAATCGCAGGCCAAGCAAAGTCGGCCACAGAAACCAGGGCTTGTTTTATACTAGGACATTTTTGCATCTCTTTAGCACAGCCAAGTAAAACACTTTGCAGAAGTGTTTATACCCCTCAAAATTTTCATTTCGTCATTTAACAACAACAAATCTATTAGGATTGACCGACCAACACACTTTGGTGAACCAACTGGAAATGGAAGGACAATGAAATCTGAAAGTACACTTGTAGTTGGAAAGTGTAGAAGTCCAATCAACACTTTGTAGAACCAGCTTCCACTGTAGATACAGCCGCAAGATCATTTTTGGCTCATCTCTGCCTGCTTTGCACGTCTAGAAACAGACTTTCTTTAGCCATTCCTGTTTGACAAAATAACTTATGCTTAATCAGATCATGTGGCACAAGTCAACTTTAAAATCTTGAAACACATTCCCAGTTGGACTTTGACTGAGCCATTCTATCAGAGTCACCTGGTTGTATGTTTAAGGTTTCTATTCTGGTTCAAGGTGAAGTTCAGGGAGCTCCAGTAAAAAGTCTTTTGTAGTCGCTCAGGATGTTTTTAAGCTTTTATCACGCATACATTATTAGTTTTCTGTGAGAAAGAGACACAAAGTTCATCTACATGTTTGTTGTCATGGCTGCTGGTAAATTTTTATTGGATTATATGAGCAATAGTTAGTTTCTTTTTGCTAATTATGTAAGTGGAGGGCAGTTGGCTGCTCTAAATTTCATTTTGGTCCATCTGAGTAAATGGGGCTAATTATAAGTTCCAAAATGTTTCTTGTTGAGAGAATCAAAATATTGCTTTACAATCGTTGGCAGAATAAATCTTATTCCCCACCAGAGTTTATTGATTAAAAGAGAAATCCCCATACCATCTATGTCTGACCCGAGAATTTGAAAGTCTGACGAGATGAGAAGATCTTCTTAAATTCTTAAGATCCCTGCTGCATGACGGCTGATACGCATGAGGACCATCTCCTCAAAGTCCACGACTTGTCTCACAAGTTGCTGCTTGGCTGCACATGAGTGAAGCAGGCTTAATCTAAAATGGACGTGGATGAAGAGCGAGAGAATGGAGAGGAGGTCTGAATCACTTGCATGTGCCTGTGTTTGTCTGTGACTCTGCTCGTTTCCAGACAGTGGTGTTTCATCCGTGGATAGCGTTTTCATCTTCCAGAGCTCTGCGGAGGAGACCACAGACACCTCCTATGACGCCATTGTGGTTGAGCAGTGGACTGTTATAGATGTGAGTTTTCAATGTTGTTCCTGTGCCGTTTCCACTTGGGAGGCAAAATTTTCTTCTGAGAAGAAGAAAAAAACCAAAACATCCTGAAGTGCGCTTTATTCATGAATCTCCCCCTTTTAATGCGCATGGGATAGTTTTGGTCAGAACTTTAAAATCATCTTTTTAAAATGACAAAAAAATGAGGTGCACAGTTTTGAATCTGACCTGACATTTCTCAGTCTGAATGTGGCAAGAAATATAAATACTGGCTCAACCATACAGTGTTTGGATAGAGAGTAAGTTGGAGAGAAAGCACTCACTTTTTGCAGCCACTGCCAGCCCTCTGGCTTAGCACTTTGTGGATACTGAATCAGGACTGCACCGATAAGTAGAACCCGATTTTCTTAATGTTGGTAGATTGGCAATCAGACAACACATCCATGGTAAATTGATATGGTCTTCAAATCTAATCTACCTCTGCAATAGTCTGAAAACCAGTCACAGTGCCTCAGAGCTGACTGACGGACCCGCCCACCATGTTACGTCTGGGGTTAACAATCGTCACCCCACTGTTGCCAGCTTAGCAACTTTTCAGAGAAAAAAAAAATGTCCAAAATCTAAATCAGCAGGTTGGGCTTTTAAAAGATTAACAATCAGACAGAACACTGCAATCTGTGCATAATTATATTTAATTGCTCGTATTTAAAATTGTGTAGTCCAACATTATAGACAGGGTTAATGTCAGATCCAGCACATTAACCGTAGACTGCTTTTTCCCCCAAAAAACTAGTTCTGAAATGCTTTTGGGAATCACTGTCTTATTGAAATACCCAGTTGTGTCCACTTTTAAACTCAGCACTGTACCAGTCCACTCCAAATTCAGAACAAGTTCCAATTTATTATCCCATCCACAACAAAAGACCCTCAGCATGATGCTGCCTCCACCAGTCTTGACAATTGGTATAGTGTTCTCCAAACTGAAAGCCTCAGTTGGACTCCTTCATGAAAGTCTTGGACAAATAGTTCCTCTGACGATAAAACGGGACATTTGGAATAATCCATGTGGGCTATGGCATTTTTCAGGTATTTATTTTGTTGAGGTGCCTCAATTCAGGGTATATGCTACATTTTGTATCCAATTATTGTTTTCATGAGTCGTTGAGGGTCTTTTGTACAATGACATTTTTACACTCCTAATGACAATGCAAACTTCTGACCATTCATGTAATGTAAGTATATATACATTTTGAACACATGTATATGCGACTCCTTCCAGGGCGTTGTGGTGAAGACTGATTACATCCCGCTGCTCCAGTCCTTGGCTCCATATGGATGGAGACTGATGTGTGTGCTGCCAACACCCATTGTCAGAACAAACAGGTGCCAAAGCCCCTCTGAAATTCTATGTGAAGACAACACTTGATTTGTTTAAAATATTCACCCTTTCATCCCGCTGACAAATGTCTCCTAAACTTAGCCGGGTCTAATTACGGCTTTGCTCGATTGTTGATTCTTCTCGCCGAACACCTTGTCGTTCTCGTTCCTTTTGGGAGCAGGACTGACACTGGAAGTCGGATATGAAGGACAGATGGCTCCAGATCTGACAAATCCTGATCATATGCTCGTCTTGACATGAAAGAGCTTTTGAAATCTGTTGCCTCTGCGAACAAACAAGCAAAAAAAAAAAAAGAAAAGAAAAAAAAAGCCATCGCTGAACCGCTTTTGTTTTTTAACCTGTCACTTTAGAAACCGCAGGCAGCAGAGCCTGGATTTCAGCACACGCGGCGCTAATGCAAGCTCCTTGAATTATAATACGGTGGGTGACGTTCATTAAAGGGCTGCTCTTCTCTTTTCGCAGTGATGGAAGTTTGTCGACTAAGCAAATCCTTTTCCTTCAGAGACCCATTTTGCAACGCAGGAGAAAAGACTTCAAGGTTCGTCTTCAGTCTTTGCAACAAATCTGTCACTTGTCTCTGTTACGCCTTGAGTGACTTTGTCACAGGAGGTAAAATAAAAAAAGGTATGTTTCTAAATATGGGATGTACAGCGACTGTAAAACCCACTTAGAAAACGTCTAATAATAGGCAGGTAGTTGGCCTCAAACTGTACAGGAAAGAGGCATCAGTGAAAAAGGCTTTGTTGTGGTTTGTCAGGCGTCTGGGGGGGAAGCGAAAGAAAAGACGTGGCACAAAGCAGGAAACCATCTCAAACACGTCCGTTTGATTTCAGATGCTGAACCTCAGAGGTCGCAGCAAGGCGAAGAAACACTCAGCCGGGGAGGCGCTGGACGAGCAAGAGAACAAGTCCCTCGTGATAGAGACTGAGATGGACAGGCTGAGGATCAACAAAGAGGAAGAGGAGGCGGAGGGGAGGGAGCGAGGGGACAGCGGAAGGAGCCAAAGAGCGGGGCTTCAGAAGAGCGGAGACGAGGCGCAGCATCAAAAGGCCTTCTCCCTTCTGCTGGAGCGCAGCGCTTCTGTTGAATATCAAGAGGAGGAAACCGACGTGGACGCCGTCCCGCTGCCCAGGCAGGAGAAGGCGGTGAGGTGGACGGATTTCTGCCCGGGTGACGAGAGGGGGGTGAAGGGAAAGGTCAGGGTGGAGGAGAGCATCAAAAAGCAGCTGTTCTCCGGCGTCTGTTGACGTATCTGCGAACGGAGCCATCGGAGGGAAGAGAACGCTTTTAAACATTCGGTCTGGATTCCTGTGGAAGAACTAATCTAGAGTAAAACATACACAGTGCTGTGAAAAAGTATTTGTCCACTTGGAAGTTCTCCAACAAAGTGAAACCATAAGAAATCTGAAATGGGTAAATACCTTTTTGGAGGTACATTTATCCTGTGTTCATTTGGTGAAGGTGTGCTGTAGAGTTCCCTGCTTTGTTTTGTTGACTGTTTTTGTAAAAAGTTTTTAGAAATGTACAGTGTGGTACAGCTTCTCCTGCCAATGCCTTAAGTAGGACATATGTTTAGGGATTTTATTTGCTTTTTTTTACGTTTGCTATCTAGTTCAGGCTAATGTGACGTCAATTTGCCCCATCGCCAACCACTTCACACCTGTAAACCAATCCATAGCAGTTTCTTCTTCTGGTATTTTGATGAATTATGAAGAGAAATAATCACATCACAAAACTCATACATTTCTCATAGAAACTACTTTATTTATAAATTATTTTCTGACGAAATAGATTATTTATTAGTGTGACTTGTGGTTAGTAGAAAAAAAAAAACTAATCAAAAATAAAAATCAACCAGCGGCAACACAGTTGGGGACAAAAAGATCCAAACTGCAACATGGCGAAGGGCCGAAGTGACCCCCATGAGAAACTCCTGAAGGACTGCAGGTGACCTTTGCCCCTTTTCACTGTTTCTAAAGCTGCTATGAAGACATGTTGTTTTGTAAATAAAAAGAGTGAGTTTCTTAGTTGTAGTTCAGGTTGTTAATCATCATATGCGGTGAAAGGTAAACATTTTCTCACTTTGGACTGGGAGTTTGAAGTTTACTCACATTTATTAATTTAAATTTATTTGTACTGTGTCTTGCAAATGTATTGTCACTCTTTGAGCGTTGTCATGTTTTTTTACTTGGATTTATTATATTTTCAGTAACGCTCACAAAGCTGCGTGCCACTGTTGCGTGGAAAGAAAATGCGACTTGGTTTCCAAAATTTTTAAACACCAAAAAAAAAAAAAATTCGCCGTTTGTTTCTTTTCAGCTTTTCTGCTTAATACTTTGTGGAATCACCTTTCACTGCACATAAAGTGTCAGGACTGATGCCACTGATGGAGGTACAGAGCTACTAAATTTACACATCTACAGACTTAAATCACTGCAAAGATCAAACAAACCTTTCTATAAGAGAGCAATAAAATCACCAGACAGCATGGCAGGGAAATCAGAAAGCATTACATTAGGTCAGGTGAAAAACTAATTCCAGGAAGTAGACATGTTCCTATCAAATCAAAAGCAAAAAGGAAGCCTTCTCTCACTCCAATAACTGGCCAAACAAGTCTTTAGTCATCGCTGAAGTAATCAGTAGAGGCAGATAAACTAAAAGGTTTGAAATGAATCAAATATTCATTCTTTTTCCATTTGATATGTCAGATGGACAAGAGCTCATTGGACATGGATTTATAATGAATATTTCCATCATACTTACTGTACCTGAGATAAGATCAGCTTAGTTGTATTCGCTGCTTTACAGTTCAACAATTTGGAAAGAGTGCCGCCTTTCATGAAGTGGAAGAATCAGTCCAACTCTAAACTCTAAATTTAGACCAATTACCAGCATATGCATTATCCAACTCCAGAAAAACCAAGTGATAATATGCCAAGAGGAATACAATTTTCAAATATCGGCGTAATTCTTGTGAGTATTTTAAAAGGTACAACCTTTCATGTGGTTTGCCATTTTCTCAAAAGCTGAAGGCAATAGAAAAGTTTTATTTGCAATAAATGACCCAAGAATGTGCTATTTAGAAACGAGTTCTTTATTTGTTCCCCAGCTCTTAAAATGTGTGAGTGGTGTAACAGTTAGGTCTTGGTTTAACAAGAAGGTCAATAAAGTGTTTGAAGCCCGGCCTGCCTCAAAGTTGGCTCTTTTTCTTTTCTTTCTCCATTTGACTTCCATGTTATTGTCATGAACGGGGGGGAACATTACAGCCCTCGCTGAGAAACAGCAGCGAGAAGCTCGCCGCCATCTCTGAGGGACGCTCGGCGATCCGTGCCAATCAGAGACCACCCGGAGGTTCCATCACAGCGCGCCGCGGGACGCTTAACCTGCCCTGGGATGGAAAACTGTTTGCTGATGTGGAAGATGTGTGAGAAAAGAGACTGCTCAGATGATGAGCACCGAGGGAGGGTGTGTGTGTGTGTGTGTGTGTGTGTGTGTGTGTGAGGAAAACAGTACCGTGGTGGCCAAGCATGTGAGAGATTGCCAGGTTTCACTTGATGTTGGGAAAGAAAAAGATGTGTGAGGTGTAATTTCTCTCACGGAAGGGAAAAACAAACTTTTTACTTTCGCAAATGATGTTATTCTTTTTGGCACATAAATAGAAAGTTAACATTTAAGCCGCTTTGTTTTGAGGTTTTAATACATGGTTTCAATAAGTGTGAAGCCACAGTGAACAAGCATGGCGGCAAATTCTGAAAATCTCACAACAACTCGGTTTATACAAGTTAGATCATTTTCTAACTGACCTAGAGCAGATTCCAGCTCACAACAGGAAAGCTGCTGTTTTATTTGGCGTCAAATTGCCATATTATACTGATGGACGACTGCACACAGCTGTAAAAAAAAAAATGTTGTGAGCTCTTAATATTTCTTAAACAGAAATCGAAATTGGTTGAAAACAGCGTCAACACAAAGACGGGAAATTGGGCACAAATCGGCGACCGGTGCACCTTTAAAAATATATTTCAGTATGAAACATATTCCCAAACTAAACTTTGCAAGGATATTGTTGCAAATCGTACAAATCTCACTCTCAACTTAAATTAGCATTTTCTAGAAATCTGTACAGAATCTTGACATTTAAAATCAACTGTATATGATTCAGTTTGCAGTTCAGGGATGGTGCCATAGACCTTGAATGTGTCGAGAGGCGTTTCCTCCCTTTGAAGACCACGAAAAGCCACAACTTCTCCTACCACCACTTCTCAAACAGGATCCTGTCCTTTGGGAGGCCGAGGTCCATGAGGGTTTTTGAAATTGCCTCCGTCATCGGCGGCGGTCCGCATAAGTAACACAAAGTCCTTTGCGGGTCCACGTTCGCCTGCAAGTCCTCCGCTGTGATTCTCCCACCTGAGGAGACACGGGGGAGCCAAGGCTTTAATTAAGACGCTCAGGCTCGAACGCGCCGCTTTGATAGAGCTGGCTTCACGTGATGCAACAGATAAATCAAAGGAAAGGCAGATGGCGGAGGAATGCGACAGTCAATCAATCATCCCGGCTAAACGAGGAAACGGTTCTGTGTGCAGATTACTTTTGACGAATGGCTGGAGGTGCGGCTCGACTCCTGCGCTCTGTTGCGTGACGTGAAAGTTGCAGGTGAACTTGTTGGGAAACTCCCCACATTTCTCAATGATGGAGCTCTGAAAGAGAGAATAAGAAAACAGAAAAAACAACAAGTCAGATTGTGACGGGTCGGAGGTTATTGAACCTTCCCGGTTTTTGTCACAGTAAGGGCTGAAACAATCAAATTACTCGTGGCGAATCGATTATTCAAATAATAATCGAATATTGGTTCCGACGTGAGTATACAGTCACAGAAAAGGCCATATACTGAAAGCACAAAGAGCAGTAATTCAGTCAAAACTGAATGAAAAATATACATTTTGGACTTAATATAAAAATACACCAATGTCTCTGAACATGTTCAGCCCAGAACTTCTCAAGTGGCACCTTTAGCTTCATTTGATTCAAATTCTTAAATAGCAATCTCATATAAAACATATTTTACTCTCCAATTATTAATCTGTAAATCCAAAAATTATTAATTGGGCCAGCCTTTCACTTTATTGATATCAAGGAGAAACAAGTGAGCTTTTCACACGTTGATGCCAGAATCGAATACTAAAGTAATCGATTCATCAGAAACCTCAACGTGACACACATCATCACGTTTGCATCTGTAACAGAGATTATTCCAAGCACTCCCACTCTAAATGGAAAACATAATGAACCTTGAAGAGCAGTTCCTGCGTGTTCTTGGCGCTGTAGCAGAGATGGGCAGAACCGATGTTGAAGTGCCGACCAGCAGAGGACTGGTTGAGTCGGAGCAGATCTGAGGTGTGCAGCAGGATAGAGAACAGCGGATTGATCCCCACACCGCCGGCAACCAGCAGCAAATCCACAGCTGGACCCGAGGGCGGCGGGTCGAAGTAGAAGTCTCCGCCGACACGCATGGCCACACGGGAGCCCACTGCACACTGACAGAGGAGAGAAGAAACTGTTCCAGAAAATTGGAGGAAGGCTGACTTGATAATAAAGAGAACACAACAAAATGCACGGGTTTCCTCACTCTAGGTTTTATTGGGGGTTTTTTTTTCCATTCATCTGCTCTCTTCTAAATGATAATGCATTCTTTCTCAAGCTACTACAACCGTGCCTAACTGTTCCTGGAGAACGATATCAAAGAAAAGGATCAAATCATGCCAAAGCAGAGAGATGTACATCTCTGAATGCCGCTGTTCCTCAGATCTGTCTGAAATAAAATCAGGATTATCACGAGACTACATCAAACCCATATGAATATGGAATCTGCAAAGGGAAAATGAAAGATGAAGGCAAACATAACAAACTCAAAGACAAATTCATATTTTATTCGGAGGGGAAAAATAAACACTCATTGCCTCCCCTGTTAACACTTCTTACAATCCTTAGTCCCCTCCTTTTCAGTCTTCTCCCCTCACTCACCGCGGTGTGGACCCAGTGAGCCGGGGGATGTTTCGTGTACTTGATAGCCAGTTCGACCACACCGTCTCTCTGCAACAGACCCGGGCTGGAGCACATGGAGAAACCTCCCACCTCCGCCACACCAGGAATGAAGAAATCCACCCTGAACCGGGAAACAGCACAATACAAAAATATAAACCCCAAACTATCGGTGAAAACCGACAACTCAAGTCAGTCTCGAAGCGGTGAAGACGGGTCGAACTGCGGGTCAGAGGCTGAATGAAGGGAGAGCGTCGCCCTCTGACCTCGGCGACAAGAGCGGCGTGTTCCAGAAAACCCACAGAATGAAATCAAACCAGAAGAGCAGCTGCCTGCTAGCAACTCTGTTCCACCTGCAGCACGTTTGTTTGCCACAAAGCACAGCCACATGTGGAGCCAATGCTAAACAGCTGGACTAATGTTTCAGCAGCACAATGATCCACTGTTACGTTAGAGAAAGAAAAAGGAGCCACATATGAAGGCTCTGTCGTCGTAAGGTAGACTTTAAAAATTACATATTTGCAGCCGCTGAAAGCTGGACGACTGGTTGCCTAGCACCCACCAACACTGTGCGCGCTGTCCACTGATTAAAACTGTCAAGACACAACAACAAAAAAAACAATGACCTGCTTTCATGAGAGAATCTATTTTCATTAGGTTGAGTCTAAAATGTCTACTGTTACTAAGTGGATATGTTTCATATATCTGTATAGAATGTAAAGTTCTGTCAATATTGAAAGCTTGAATCTCAAGTGGTTGAATCTGACAGAATGCTGCCACCAGGTGGTGGCTCTGAGCACTGCTGATTTTAAAAAAATGGATCTACAGACCACCATGGTTGGTAAAATATGAGCAAACAGATTTGTATTTTTAAAATGCTTTCTATATTTTGGAAACATACAAATTCAACAAGAATTAACACAAAATAATTTGTCCCATTAACTGAGCCCCACAAATCAGTGATCCAGGGAAGATCTTCATGCTTACACAAAGGTGCAAACACGAGCGTGTCCTCACCACTGTCCTGCTTTGAAGCTGAAGTCTGGGTGCACGGCTATCCTCAGTCTTCTTACTGTTTCCGATTCGGTCATGATTCCACAGACTTGGCCGGGATACAGCGCCTGCATCAGGCACCCAAACAAACAAACACCCCCAACAAAAAACACATCAATAAATTCGGAAGGGATAGCTTTTCACTGCAAATTCACAAGACTGTTTTCAACGCAGAGCTTACATTTTGTCTGTAGTTGCTCGCTGTCCTCTCTAAGTGGTCTGTTTGTTTTTCGGAGGACATATTTCTTCTGATAAAAAATGAAATAGAAGTTAGAAAATAGTTTGTGCAAAGTGCCTAAAGCTATTCATTTTTCTAGAGACTAAAGGTTATTAGCAAAGAGGTCCCCCCACTGAATTTCAGCCAAACCAAACCAAACCAGACTCACCCGTTTGAGGGTCCGGGACCCAGCAGCCGCCTGCGCAGCGGAGCAGCAGCAGGATTCTGCCGGGTGAAGCGTCTAGCAGCGGTGCAAATCAACCAGCAGGGGGCACTCATCGCCATTCGGCTTCCTGTCAGAACAGACAACATCTGGAAAAGCCGAAAACTGTCAAAACTGCTGAGAGTCACACATTAGCGGTGTTGTAGTAAACCTTTTTTTTTTTTTTTTTTTTTTTAATTTTGCAGTCGTTTAGGTTTTATTTGAGGAGCTGATTCTGAAATCTACAAGGTTTAAACTGAAAGCAAAGGATACCTACAGTAAGACAAAACTACCTTAAAATATATTGCTTTTAGTCTAAAATAGGACTAACTATCAGCCGATGCCCCTTTCACATTTCCGGGATGTAAGAACAATAACAAAATGTTTACTTTTAAACCTAAAAACATGGTAGGAAAACATCATTCGGTACTATTGAGATAAATCGAAATGGAGTTTGGTGTGACCTCTTTGGGGTAAGCTAACTAGCTAAAGCTGCATCAAAGCAGGGTTTTTATTCCGCTCTGTTGTGTCGGGTAGACAGAAGCTTGGTTAAATTTCTTACCTGAACAACGCCGACACAAACTCAGGTCGTGTATTTCTCCACTACAACAGTAATAACCTCCGACATGTTAGAATTACATGACACAAGTTTCAATGTGGAAAGCTCACTTCTTCGGAGCGTTGAAACACCTGGGATTGAGTTTATCAGCGCCCTCCTCTGGCCGAATGGCGTGTTTGTACTTGTGACGTTACTGTGAGGCGAGGTAGAATCTGAGAATCATTTTATGCCGTACTGAAACAAATGTCAGTCCAAGATGAGACAGTGGCACAAATACAGACAGATTAACATTTGAAGAAGTATGTTCAGACGGTTTCCATTTAAATTCAATTAAAACCAATGCAGTTGGTACATCTGTGTACCATGCGAGAAAAACATTGTCCATTAACATCTAATTCAATAAAATCAATTACATGGTGAGAATTGACTACAATATAATCAACTATTCAGATTCAGATCCAGTTCAATTCAGTCCAAACTATAACATGTATGTGATCATGAAAATCCAAGTAGTAAATTACTTATCTAAGAGACCAGGAAGAGATTTATGGAAGATTGTAGCTCTTTGTGAGAAACTGTAGCATTTCAGTAGCTTTCAGCTCATTGTTCAGCGAGTGAAACCTGATATGTTCCTGTTTTGTTGCACTGGGTTGTTCCCTGACATAAAAAACAGCTGCTGTCATGAAAAGCATTCAAAAGTCTATTGTATATTCCCAGCACAGCACTTTTCGACGGCCAGACTAGCTTAGTTTGCATTGTTATCATCTTGGAAATATTTTTTAATTCTCTTTAGGATATATGTAAACATGCAGAGAGAACACTGGGATATCTGGGTTTAAAAATGGGTGAACAAATAGTACAGTTAGAGCACTTCTGCAGGGTGTTCATTTGAAAATAATAATAATAACAATTTGTGTATTTTTGTGAACTTCAGAAAGGTTTTCATCTCCCAGCTGACACACCATTGGAAAATTATTACACAGATCCCTCTAAGGAGTAGGTTTGATAATTCTCTGCTGTTTCCTTTATGATTAGTAACAAATGCTTAACTTGGCACTTTTTGTGTTTTTGGCTCCATCTTGTGGTAAACTAACAGTTTTCAGTGAACTGCCACAACCTTAAAGGCACCAATTCTATAAATATTTTAAGGCGCCGAATGTATACTTCTTTCATTTAAATATTTTCTTTATCATACAGCCAAGCCTTCTACTAGCTTTAAAGGTATTGTGGGCTTTAAGTGTGGCTTAAGAAAAACAAAGTCAATGTTCTGGATTGGTCAACACAAAGCCCTGAACTCAGTCCTATTGAAATTGTGTAGGTCAAGCAGAAACGTGTGTTTGAGCCATTCAGCCACAACCAGTTCTGTCAGAAGGAAAGAAACGCTTGTGGGACAAGACCCGAAAAATTAAAGACAAACAGTTCTAAAATCACCAGAAAAGTTCATTGTAATTAAAAAAACAGTCAGCAATACAGACACAAACGTAGAGACACAACTGAGTTGAAAAATATTTTTGAAATTAATGTATCCCAGTAATCACAGGTCAGAATTACAAGAGGTAAAATTCTAAAGAAAAAGTTCTTGCATGACGTGTTTGTACAGTCTTGGTGCAATGACGAGATAGTTCACTCTCACTCAAAGGAGAGAAATGCAGAAAATATTCCTTGATTCCCCCCCACACACACCTCCTTATTTTGTGCCACTGGGTTTCTCTAGCTCTTCTCTGTTGGCAATGAAACAGACAGAAACCAGACTAGAATCACAAACCCAAACAATCCGCTTTCAACATGCGTAATGCCACAGCCCGGAAATGATGTTTCCTAAACTCCGAAGACTTAAAATGCACAGATAACTCCTGGCATTTGGAATTATTTAGGAATAGTGAAGTTTTTTGATTAATTCTAGAGGTATGATTGCAAGATTGATACTATTCCTGAGTCTAACTATTAATTAAGTGTGGGAAAAATAGTGATGTGTATTATCAAATTACAGAGAAAGCCATCTCAGAAAGATTTTTATGTTTCAAACTAGTGTGCTGTGCCTAATTGGATTCCTTGACAACTGCAAACCTTGCTGTATTTTATTAGAAACCTACAGTTAATAGAACCATGTTTCCGTGCAATTGAAGTTGTACGTCTAATTTCTTTTGCCCATTCATCTTTGCAAAAATGCCACAAAGACAATTATATTGGATGAAACACATCCATAAACATCAATATATGATTCTTACCACAGAATCCAGATCTGTACTTTGACTGGGTCACATCCTCTATGATCTCAACCATCCTATTGTAGTTCCAGTGCTGAAAGGTGAATGTCTTCTCCGGGCTTCCATGCAGGCCAGATTTGTGGCGTGGACAACAAATAGTTGTCCAGTTCACAGATTCTTCCACCTGAACCATGGATCTCTGCATCTCCTCCAAAGTCAACAAGGGTCTCTTGGCTGCTTTTCCGGTTTTTGTAATTGCCAGAATTGGATTTTGTTCATGGGCATCAGCGTAAAGAGGGCTTAATACAAAGAACATTGAAATTTGGAGTTGTGAAGTGATCAAATATGGGAAGTATAAATATTTCCATAAGATACTTTGAATATGCAAACAAAACATAATTGAAATATGTCAGAGCTATTTACTTATTTATTTCCAAAACTAACTAATGTCTTTATTCCTATCAGTTGCCTAAAAGCATTTTAGTGCAGAAATACAATAAATCTATTGAGTCAAGATAACTTTATGAACATATACTTGAAATGACATAATAAAAAAACACTTAATTCCACATAGTGACTCTGGCACAGAAATACAGGAAACACATTTTCAATCAGAAGAGCACTGTGTTAGATGAATGTGAGCGTACAGTAGAGTCGTTTGTCTGCATTTCTCAGTGAGTCTCTCTGTATCACTTTTGTAAGAACACTTAATAGAAACTCAGCAGATACACAGAAAGGAAAGGCTTGCAACTGTTAGATTCCTTTCTGCATTCCTGCAAGTTTTCTTCCTCTGTTTCTGCACTCATCACAGGTCAGCCTCAATGAGCAGGTTTCATATTTTCAAGAAAGCCCTGAAGAAAACCTGCCAAACAGCATGATCCTGAAATTAAAAAGACAATTAGAAAGATTAAACTCATTCCATTAAGACAGACTGCGATTTGCTCCACCCAAGTTCTCTGAAGGAAGGAACTGTTTCGGAGTTGTATGGGAACTGTTTAACTAACACCAAGAACAACCCGACCCCCTGTTGTCTTTGGTGTGGAAAAAAAAGAGTTTGCATATAAGAAAGTTGTCAGTAAAAGTCCTAACAGGTCTGAGTACTTGTAAAAAGTGAGCGAACCACGTCCATGTTTTTGCCGTCCTTAGGAACAGCAGCTGCTCACTTCCTTCACTGGGCTTGTTCTTTTCCCAGCTGACTCTACCAGTCCAACTGGCTGCCTTCCTGCCTTCTTTCCCATGAGCAGCACAACTTTGTTCAACCTGTCAGCCAGTACTTCAGAGTGACAAGAAGAGATTTATTTTCAGCTATGCACAGACATCTTGTTCTCGTCATAAGCAATTGTCCCACGCATGACGGAAACGCAAGCCTCTACGCAGATTCATATGCCTCGGTCTGTGTGCTTGTGAGTCAAAGAAAATATTTTTAACATACTTGAATGAGTGACGTCATGTTTTCATTTATTTCAGGCCATGACCTCTGCAACAGTTTTCTGTATTGGAAAAACACAATGGCATTTTGCATTGTTGGGGACAATTAATGAAAGACGTATGCGTACAAAGTTGGTATGTCAACACTTTTCTCATCTTTCCTTCAGCTTTATAAAGGAGGCTAGTTATCATAAGCTGCAAGTCACCGCACACTTGCAGACTTTACCTTTTAGCGTGGTGTTTGTGGAGTGACATGGAGGCCGATCTCCTTTTAAACATGATCTGTGCAACGACATCAGAAGACTTTAGCTTTAATTTGACTACGTTCTCGCAATATTTCATTGCCTTGCTTCTGCAGAGAACTTTAAACCACCTCTAAAATGTTTCTTCTTCAGCAATAAATTCTTGTTTCATTGAAGGCAGGCCACTGTGGTTGTGTGCATTTCCGATTATTTTCACAGAACAAATTTTACCTGCTAATCCCAGGTCACTCTGAAGCAGAAGACAGACAACTTTTTAGAAAATTCTTTTGACTTTTTACAAGTACTCTTTGATCCATTCTGGATTATAAGTTTAACGTCGATCACTATGAGATTCAGAAGTTTGGAGCAAAAGTTGCAGTTATTGCATTCAATTTGTTTTGCAACAGTGAGATTTATTTTTATTTTTTTTGCGAAGGCATCTTTGCTTTTGTATCACCCTTTTTTATTACTTTGGTAATCAATGGCAATCAGTTACTACCAAATAGAAGCAGGGATGCGTTCTAAATACTGACATATTTCAGGTGGTTTCTGGGATTTTTATTCATTTTTTAAAATACATCCCCTCCTTTGAGTTCAATACTTTTTCAATCATTTATTCATTGATGTTAACAAAAAAAGACATTGAAACAAAATAATACTTTTTTTTTCCTTTGTAAAAAGTACAATAGTACCTTCTCCCCCACAGCTTTTATCAAAAAACAAGTGATCCCATAATATATACCATATATATACCAACCTGTGTTAAACGCTCTCCTAGTACATTTACTTGTTCTTGTGTGAACTTCTGTTCTTGGAGTGTACGTGTATGCTCAAAATTACTTTGTATTCTTATGTGAAAAGGGCGTGAGGCTGCAGCTCTGAAGGAAAAATTGTTTCAGGTTGTACTAATAGCTCTTCGGATGGCAGCAGTTCAAACAGCAAAAAAGGTGTGTCTTTGTCTCTATTATGATGGGGTGATATTTACAGACGGTCAGGGCCGTGCAGAGGCCTTTGGAGGGGCAGGGGCTCAAAGTAAAAAAAAGGGCACACAGCAGGAGAAGACACATCCGAAAATGTCAGAGCAACATTGCAATTAGGTGACAAATTGATGAACCGAGCAGATATTTGAGACTTACACACTTACATTTTCTCCAAAAAACATTGTACCAAATCACGTTGTGCAACTTAAATTGCAAAATAGCAAAATAATTTGTCTCTCTTCACCGCTATTGACGCGCTGCCTGAACGCCAGAATCATGGGATATGGTGGGCCATGACGCATACACTGGATCCATTCTTCAAATTTGGGGAAAAGAAAGATGCATTTGAAGGCGTCTTCGAATTCGGACAGGTCTTGTCGCCACGCTGTGATGTAATCGGCCAACAAACCCGTCCTTCCAAGGATGCAGACCCCGAATTCAGACACAGCTGATACCAGTGTGGTTGTTGGAGGACTGCTCTACTTCCTGCTGGAGGCGGAGCCAGCGTCATGTCAACTCTGTGTGTTTCAGTTCAGACAGAAAATGAAAACAGCGACTTAAACACCAACTCTGACAGATCATCGGTAGAGTGTTAGCTACACTACCACCGCGATCACTTAATAATTATCACAAAATAAACATCAAGACATAAAATCATAAAACTGTAATGGGTTGGATATTCTGTTTTTTTGTGAGGCGATATTATCATTATTATTATTAAAACAATAACAATAATAACAATATAAAATTATAACTGTATGTTATGATATTTTCACTACTATCATTACATCCAAGTTTTTGCCTCAGCAACCACCAGCAGTCGAAGGAGCATGCTGATAACCATCAGCTGCTTCTGGAGTCCCATAGGCCAAAAAAGTCAGATAGGACTCCCTCTTCAGCCTGACAGTATCCCTCACCAAAGAGGTCCACCAACGGGTCCGGGGATTGTCGCCGCGACAGGCACCGACAACCATGCGGCTGCAGCTCCGATGAGCCGCCTTGGCAATGGAGGCACAGAACATGGTCCACTGAGACTGAATGTGCCCCCACGTCCACCCGGACTATTCTGCCGGAGATGGGAGTTAAAGCTCTGTCTCACAGATGACTCTGTCAGATGTTCCCAGCAGACACTCATAACACGTTTGGGCCTGCCAGGTCTGACCGGCAACCTCCCCCACCACCGGAGCCAACTCACCACCAGGTAGTGGTCAGTGGACAGCTCTGCCCTTCTCTTCACCAGAGTGTCCAAGACATACGGCCGCAGATCTGATGAAACAATGACAAAGTTGATCATCAAACTGTGGCCTACGGTGTCCTGGTGCCATGTGCACTTGGTTCATGTGCCAAGTGCACACGAACCCTCATGCCTGAAGATGGTGTTCATTATGGAAGAACACCACTTGAGTTCAGATCAGGGGGCCGTTCCTCCCGACCATGGCCCTCCAGGTCTCACTGTCATTGCCCATGTGAGTGTTGACGTCCTTCAGCAGAACAAGGGAGTCCCCAGGAGGAGGGGCAGTACCCCCCTATACCCACAAACCGGGCGTACAGGGGGGTGCACTCCAAGAAAGGTGGGTAATCTGAACTGCTGTTCGGCCCGTAAGTCTCTCATCTTGTTTTCTGGTCCAACCCTGCTGTAATTCTCAACTTTATCTCTGACCTGTCTGGTTTGGTCTGTTATGATAATGTTTGTTCACTAATCTTCTTTTACATCTTTCAAAGGTCGTCACAGAACAATTTGTTTCAGGTAGACTTTTTTTCAACTAGGTGACCTTTGAAGGCATTTGGTTGCACTGGATTTTATTTAGAGTCTCCAGGTTAAAGCGGTCTGAATAAATGAACAACACTGCAGTCTTTGAGTAAAGCGTTCTGATTTTGAGAATCATGTTTCCCTTTCTGCAAATGTCATAGTTGAGTGCTGCTCTGTGTTAGTTTACCACAGAAAATTCTATTAAAATTGAGGATTAGTAGTTTCTTTTTGACAAAACGTAAAAGGTTAATGGTAGATGACAACTTCCTCGAGGTACTATAGTCATGAGAAGCAGTTCATCTCCTGTGTACTTGGCTCTTTCAAAGGTTTTGATTGACTTTGTGGAGCCAAGAACCAAATATTGTTTCCACATTTCTGAGTCAAATGATCCACGTTTATTAAGCGTTGTTCTAACCTAAAAGCACACCGAAGTTTTAGCTTTGGCTGAAGTTCCTTAAAGATAACAGGGCTTAACACACAGCACTCTGGGACGCCTATAGTGAGCTGTATTTATCAATTATGACATATTGTGGGTGATTTATTTTGAAAATCTACAACTCATGACCAAAAAGAGGTTTTCCACAGAGGTTCTTGCACATGTTTGGAGCTGTATCCAGAATTTGAGCCGTTACTTGATCATAACACTGCATTTGTTTTTATTGGACACATCAACGTAAATATTTATGTGAAATATAGCAAACATAACATATTCTTAGTCATTTATCTGAAATGTAAAAACATAGTCTTCATACAAGGGTATTCTGATAATACCCGAATCATTCAATCTTTAATTAATAATTTTACATTATAACCCTCTTCTCTCAACAAACCAAATCGTCAATGGTGCTTGTTACAAAGCAGGAACTGAAACCACATTTTTCCTATTTTTCCACACCTTGTGTGAAACTGGTTCTGTGTACTTTTGTTTTGGCAGAAAGACACCTGTTTCCAGGTACAGAAACAAACACACATGGAGGAAAGACCTTTGGCAATGCAGGGCACCGTTTCAAAATCTCTCGATGGACTCATCCAGCTTTCGGCACGCATTCTCCACATGCTTCTGCGTTTCAGTGGACTCTCTTTTAAAAGTGTTTCTTGATACAGAACAAATGGGCTCAAAGCAAGATCTGCTGTCATAATGAGGTAATGTTTATTATGCGGGTTCTTATCTAAAAGGGCTTGCACTGATACTTTTTTTTTGTCTGATGCAATTAAAGTTAATGATCAATCTTAAGTGAAACCAACTGTGATATTTTTGCATTATGTGAAATGAGACAGTTTTACTGCAGAAACATTTGAAAGTGTGACACTGAGACAACGAAAAATATGCAAATTTGCAGAAGGATAATTTTATATTGGTTTAAGGTGCAAAATGTAGTAAAAATTGGGCTTTTTTAGTATTAAAAATGTTAAAGATAGCTCCAAGCCATTCTACAAGATCTTTAAGGGTATCACTAATAATTGTATTAAATCAGTCACTTTCAGCTCTTAAATGCCAGTCTATTTCTTCCTCTTTCACATATTGTCTGTATAGTTAAAATATTTAAGTTTTTTAAGAGCGTCCATGCCTACCGCTGTCTAGATGAAGCAATAACGAGACAAACAGAGTAACAGAGAGTAGCTCTGCAGAGTTTCTGCTGGGATGACAGATGGGAGGGAGTCCCCAAAGTATGCAGGCCACCGCCTCCCACTGGGAAGCAGCGGCGATGTCACATATTCCTGGTGCCAAAGCCATGAATTTCACTCTCACTTCAGGGGAGAGAGCGCGAGAGAGAAAGAAAAAGGGACTTTTCCTCCCTCCTCCCTCTGTGTCTGGGTTTCTTGTGGTACTCCCTGTTGGCAACGACCCAAACAGACAGAAACCACTGAGGGATTCCAAGGTCAACAACTTTGAGCAGCATAGGATCACTTCTAGGAGATGTAAAAATATCTACAGATATAGATACAGTTACAGTTCCTAAAATAGGCCTTGGAAGTTGTAACCAAATAGTTTGATTGGGATATTCCACACATTTAACACTACAATGTCAATCACAATTCCATAAAATGGCCCCAAAAACACACAATGCATACAGAATCAAATAACAGTGCAAATATATACATAAAACAAACATAACATTTATTTATCTGCTTTGAAAAACATGATCGTTCACGTGTGATCCACCGATATGGAATACCTGATACGGACGTTACTGAATTTATATTTTAAAAATGCACTTACAATTTTTTGAAAATAAAAATGACAACATCATAAAATAATATTTTGGGGAAACACAAATGATCTTAAACCTTGAATTACTCAAACAGCAGTATCATGTGAGAGCAGGCCGATGGATGCTCTCACAACTGCAGCTGGAGTATCTTTCCAGATCCAAAAGACAGCAGCAGATTACGCTTTGAGGTTGTCCTTCACTACTACTGCAGTGTTTCCTGGTCACTTGCCACACAGCGAGATTTAAACAAATCTTGGAGTAACTACTAATAGAGATTAAAACTGATATGACGGCTAATTTTGGCAATGATTTTAATGCTAACACCTGCTTTAAATCCATGTGGATTATTTCTAGTTCACTGAGTGCAGCCTGTTTATTATTATTATTATTATTATTATTATTATTATTATTATTATTATTATTATTATTATTATTATTATTATTATTATTATTATATATCTGTATTTTATCTAGAGTTGCTGAATAAAGAAAAACGTCCCCACCGCCCCTGCCCCATCAGGCTGTTTGTATATGGTGAACAACAGCCTGGACATAATTTGGCTCGGCGGCTTGGCTTGGCTTGGGTTGGGTTGGGTTCACCTGACACAAAGGACTCCTTTTTATGCCTTATCTGCCGCGGAAGAGGCGCGAGCTCCCATGGGCTATGTTGCCACGCAACCGTAAAGCCCCACCCACCGCCGCTCCGGACTCACCTGGGCTGTTCTCAGGTTCTCAGCCAATCCGCAGCGAGAACGAGGCGGCGCTGGACGAAGTTTCGGGCGGACTCTCGTCGGTTCAGAAGGAGGCTACTCTGCTTCTTATAAATATGTAAGTCCATTTTACCGACGACCGGCTAAGAAAGCGGGCGAGCCCTTTAACGAGAGCGACGATAGAGACGCGATACGGACTTTCAGGTGTTGGAGGTGTCTCCTGCTCGAAAATGGATTGACCATTTGAAGGATTGTTGTCACTTCTGGACCCAGGTCTAACGAGAAAAAACAAAAACACCGCGTCCTAAAGGCTTTGGGGGTGTTGATAATATCACCTGCCCGGTGGTTCGGACTCCCTGTAACTGGCATCATCTTCCTTTCAAACATCTCAGGTAAGAGAGCACCGGGACTTTTTCTTCTCTTCTGCTTGACTTGTGATTCACGCTTCTGCTCTCACGACTCAATAAACCAGTTTCACAGAGAGGCTAAATATGGCTCCGCTGCTTATTCGTGGGATTAGCTGGTGAAACTTGGGCCCAGAAACCGAAAATATTCCAACGTGTCCAATGTTCTTTGCGTGGGACTTGTTGTGTGTGTGTGTGTGTGTTTGTTTGTTTTTTGTTGTTGTTTTGTTTTGTCTTAGGTGATTATTTGGCATTGGAGTAAAATGTCAAAGGTTTTTCAAAGTTGTGACTAATAGAGATGCACCGATCAATCGGCCCACGATTCGGAATCGGCCAATTTTTAATTTTTTTCTTGGATCAGCTGATCTGCAATCAAATCAAAAAGTGATGTCTTTTTGAAAAAACAATGACTCAGTTAATGCAAAAGTTAATAATAATAATAATAAACTAACCTATTTCTGTCAGGAAATTGACAAACTGTCAAAGTGTACGTTTATGAATAAGTACAGATAGTAAATCAATCTTTTTCAGGTAGGTGAACACACAGGTTTGGCAGCAGAGCTCTTCAGTGCAGATACTGCAGCAATGTGACGTTACTCAAAGCAGAGCTTGCCCAAGGCAAAGCAAACCAAGCCACTTCGTAAGGTCATGAAACCTGCCTTAAATTCTTGGAATTTTATCGTTGTATATAAAGAATTTGCATGCTTTTTTAATGTTATTTTTTTTAATCAAGAGTGAGAATACTATTAAATTCGCCTTGACGTTTTCAGCATAACTGAATTACAAATTTTTAAAATGTGCAAGCAAGCTCTAAATTGAATTCACTGTGTGGAACATCAAAGAATCGTCTTTATGGGACGTTCTTGACAGGAAGAGGGGCCCCGAATCAAATTCTGCTCAAAGTCCCCATACACTTCCTGACTCAAGGATACTTTCAGTATCAGTGAGGTGTTTAAATTGCCATTTTAAGAGGAGACTGTGTTTGCTACATTTTGAGAAATGGTGATTCATGTCAGGGAGTTTGTTGAGGCTGAAACGAGAGTGAGAGTTGATAACAGGAGAACCGAACAGATGACAGCAAAAGTTGCTCTGCTGTATCATTTTGAGCTTTCCAACCTCTCATGTAATTTTTGTGTGTATAAATAGATCAACAAACAGCATGTACTTTGTTGCACTGTTGTTTAGGTTTAATGCAGATCAGATAAAGGCTAAGGACAAATGTTTTGTTGCATATATATATATATATATATATATATATATATATATATATATATATATATATATATATATATATATGCATAAATGGATTTTTTTGTCTTTTTTTATTGTCTGATAGAATCAAAACTACTACCTCTCTTGGTCAGAAATGGCCACATCAGTGTCTTTTAGTTAAAAATTCTTCGCATTTACTTTGATAGATTTGGAAATGTTGAATCCAACTCTAAAGGCTTTACAAAGTTTTCTTCATTTGCTTCAATCTATTTTACAGGCCCCAACCAGTAGTTCAAGATGACAGAGAAGGTCCCATGGTGGAAGGTGTTCATGAAGAAAAAGAACACGGATCCTTACGGCTTGGGCCCAGACTTCAACCCTTTCGCCCAGCAACCAGAGAGGCTGAAAGACCCATCGTCTTCGTCCAAGACCACCACCACCGACCAGACCGTCCCCGCGCAGGGCTCCAGCCTCCTCAGCGACGAAACCTTCGACGACTCCAAGCTGGAATCGGTGTTCAACGAGCAGACGTGCCGCAGGAACATGAAGGTTTCCCGCTCGGGTCGGTTCAAGGAGAAGAGGAGGCCGCGCTCGACCCTTCCCATCGATGAAGCCACACCGCCACGGAGGGAAGACAAACGGTGACCCTGGGGAGAGGGGTGTGTGCGCATGTGTGTGTAAAAAGACTGCTTCACAGTATCGCTTCAAAGAAGGAACGGGATTTAAATAGCTGAAAGAACTTTATTCTCATGAGGCATTGTACTGTACGGAGCGCTGGGGATGATGTTCATGTGGGTTTTACAACAGTAACTCAGAATTCTGAATACGAGTAATATTTTTAAGATTTAAGACATCTTGTAGGGTTATGTTACGAATGTCTTGTGTTGTTTTTTTTTTTTCTTATCAAGGTCATTGAACCATTTTGCACATGAAATGTCACAAACGCAACTCAAGGGACAAGCATCAGAAGCAATGGGCTGGTATCGGATTCTCTCTCTCTATGAAAATATTGAGTATAGGTATCATGAAATGTATAGCATCGCATTGTGGACTGGCGACTTGTCCAGTGATTAGTACCGTCCCACAGTGTTTTCCCAACTGTAGTTTAAACCAGGGATATCTTAAGGTTGACAACTGGGACTTCTTTAGTTTCCACCTCTCAATTGTCCACTGGTTTTGCAATTAAAATATTTCCAAATGGCAGAGTTGGTTCACCAAAAAGAAGCCTGACGTTGAACAGCAGAAACTTCTATGACGGAAATGTTTTTGAATGGTTTTGAAACAAAATGTTTATTTGAAACCTTGACTTTTTTTTTATTATTATTATGATACTTTCGCTTTTATTTTTTACAGTTCATCAAATCACAATAACAAAGCAGTCATCAAAAGCTGTTTCTCTAAAAAAAAAAGAAGTGAAATGCCTCTTTGAAATGATGTTCAAAAGATGTTTTCCAATATTTGTAGTAAAAAAAGAAAAAAAATGTTAAAATGCTACAAATATTTTTTTTTTCCTACGATGAAGGATAGTCCTTGTTTTTGCAAGACTTTTGCAAAACGTTTGACTCTGAAGGATTCCAGTGAAGGTGAATCAGATGCCAGCAAAAAGCAGAAGCTATTTTAATGAAGGATTCAATTCAATCAGGCATATTTTACAAGGTGTGTTGCAAAGCTGCTTCTACTGAAAACGATATGCTCTTGATATCCAGATGAAGATATGACATGTAACATATATATGTATGTTTTTTATTTAAAAAAAGGAGCTGTGTAGTTTTGATCACCTGTGAAGGCTTACCACAAAGGTATAATTAGAAATAAATCTGCGACAGCTGACTCTACCGGTGTGTGTCTGTGCTTTGAGATCCCATGAGTGTCTTAACCTGAACATTTACAGGCGAACATTTTTTGTTTTGTTTTGCTTTCTTTGTTGACTTTGTCACTGTGCTCTACGGTAAGAAAAACTAATTTCCAGAACAAAGGCGTAGGTTCAATGGTAAAAACAATGTCCTTTTGTCTGCCGTTGATGTCTTTCGACTTAATCCTATAAAAGCAACAAGGTTTTAAGACGTGTTCCCACAGACGGCCTGCAGCATACGTCAAACCTATATCCTTCAGGGAGGACCTCACCTGTGCTGCTGCATTCCTCTGCAGCTGCTGAACATTAAGGTGTGTGTCAACACTTGTGAAGAATCACTTCTTTGCAATCCCATTAGCAATATTTTTAGTCTATCTCACAGTAATTAAGGTGCAACAGGTTAAACAAGAGCTGGATTCCTTGGAGGTGAATTAAGTGACCGAGCGGTGCAATGGCGGACCACCGACACAAGAGGGCGGGCTTGCGCACTTAAACGTCAACCTCACAGTTGTGAGCGCGGGCAAGAGAGGACGGAATAGCTTTAAACTATTTGTAAATTCCTAAAATTGATGCAGCAATGTAATCTCCACCGTCTAGAATAGACGGCAGATCGATTCAATCACCTTCTATGTGTTATTAAAGCTACAGTCCGTTCTCCCTCACCATTGGCCCCTTGTTTGTTATGTGGCGTTAAGGTGTGGCTTGGCACGGTGAGGCTTCTGCAGAGCGCGTTTGGGAAAATAAACCGCAACCGTTGCTGCTGCTGAGCTGGACCAGCGCTCCACAAGCTGGGCGCGTTCACAGGGGCCGTGGATGTGAGAGGAAAAAGAAAAGTTTCTTTAAGCGCGTCTGCCAGAGGAAGTGAGTTTGCAGGTGCTTATAGGACCTAAATTGGATTGTACGTTTGATCAGCGGCGTCTTATTGGCCTGTATTGACTAAAAATAACTTTGTCACAGTCCCGTTATAAAGAGCGCACCATGAGGACTCGACTGTGCTGATCTCTGAGGCACCAAAGCTGTTTCTGCAGAAAGGTTATTTTTTACAAGGTAAAGAACCTTTTTAACATTTACAGTTTTGTGCAACAGGTGGATTATTATTATTATTGTTATTATCTGCAAATCCATTAGGTTTGTTTCTCACAAGGTGAAGCAACAATTACAGTTCCTCACAAAGTATTCACTCCTTTTGCATTGTCCAACATTTTGCCACACAACCACAAGTCTCAGTGCAATTTCAGAGCAGAGCACTTATAGAACAACACAAATTAGTGAGTAAAATAAAAATGACATCATTTTAATTTATAAAAAAGAAAAATGGATTGTATTTGCACTCAGGCTCCTGATTTCTCTGCAGTTACTGCACCAAGGATGCTTATGGATATGTCTCGAACTCAACTTCACACTTACAGACCGAAATCCATCTCTGATATTCTGCTTTGTAAAATATCTCAGTCTCTGATTTGGTAGAAGATGTCTGATTAGGTCTGATCTTCGACTGAGCCATTCTAACACACCGTCGCTTTGATATTTTTCATCCCAATGTTGCACTGTAAACATGTTTAAGATTGTTGTCGTGCCAGGAGGTGGACCTGTGTGCAGCTAGTGCTGCCACTACCATGTTTTGTAGCAAGAAACTGATGAGCAGTTTTTGTATTCTGCCAAGCATGGTGTTTAGCATTTCATTGAATTTTAGTCTTGTGCAACTACTAGCATTTTTTCCAAATGTTTGCAGTGTTCCTATGGCTTATAGCAAACTGTTCACTAGACTCCTTTAACTTATTGTTGCCACACCTCCATAAAAGGCCAAAATTGTGGACTTATTTGTGGATTGAGTGACTAATAGTTTAAATTGTGGATTTTTGCAGCTGCTGCAGATTTACTACTGACATCTTGGCTACTTATCTGATTCATATTCTCTATGCCTTGCTTGTCGGTTTAGGTAGACATCTACCTCTTGGCATGTTTGCATTTGAGATGAGACATTCAAGAGCTTCACAAACCAGCTGGTCTTCGGTGCCTTCTCAAGGTCATTGGTTGGACTGGCTTTTATTTAGGGGGTCTTAGAGTAAAGAGCCTTGGACACAAATGCATGGCACACCTTTTCAGGTTTTTATTTGATAAACAAATCAAAAGCCATGTAACTTGTATCTTCCACATCGAAATTGGGCACTAGGTGGTGTCACAAAAAATATAAACAGCTTGACCCATAAGAAACTAAATGGAGCACATATCAGATATATATGAATGTAGATCTATGCATTCTGACTAACACTGACCCAGGTTGTTTGTCTTGCTAAAATCTAGCGTTTGCTATCTGCTGCAATGACGTGAATATGTGTTACAACTTGCAAGAGCACCTTTGTTTTTTTCAAAATTGAGTAGGATATGATATTTAATCTAACTTTTAGCTATTCAGATGGCTGTGGGTTTTTAAAATTCACTGTTTCTGTTCGTATTTCATTGTCTTCCCGCTTCAAATGTCAAAAGGAGCAATTTATCTTCCCTTTCTTCACCGTTTCACAGCATTGAAGGATGTTTGCGCAAATGTTTCCACGCCTGAAACTTATTCTAAAGGCAACGTGTTTTGCGTGTCATTAAAATGCTCCTTATTCCAGTTGAATCTGCAAGCAGTTCCAGTTACTTGTCTGAGTCACATGAGCTCCTGTTTGTCTCGAGGAGGCCAAACAACCTTCGGGGCGAAAGGTAACAAGGACTGGTGGAGACTGTGTACATACGCTCTCTGCAGCGCCTGCTCTGGCCAGAGCTCAGCAGACCGGGGTGTCCAGGTTTTGGCCCTCTAATAAATCTAAACAGGCAGCGTCACAGAAGATCCTTGAGACTGTTATAAAGACAGGAATAGCATCGGCTGACAGTCTGCCAGGTTACAAACTCGCAAAGCATGAACTGGGCACATATAAACACAGGGGACAAAGGAGCTTCGTTTTTAGCAACAATACAGGTCCTGTTCAGGGTTTATTAAATTGCTGAGGAGGAGCAGGAGCAAATTCCACAGAGGGATGAGTGTGCAAAGACATCAGGATGCTTTCAGTCTGAGTTTTTGTCTCTGAGCGGCTGAAGAGACTTTTACAGGGCCACGTTGGTTAGAACCTGCTGACACCATCCTCGATCTTCGAAGACATGCTGAGTATATTCAGGAAGAAAAAAACAAAAGAACGATATGTTTGAACAGTGCAGGTCCTCTTCCTCTGGATTTTCCTCGATCTGTTTTCCATCCAGGGGTCTAGTGCTTTTCACACAACGCTCCCCATTGTTCCCGTCTCAAGCCCAGTATTGTGGGAAGAAGAGTTAGATAGGGGGCGGAGAGTTGTGTCAGGTTTCTGCGGAGAGGATGGAGTGCTTTCTGTTTCCTGTTTTGTGTTGCATGGCCTTTCCTGTTCAGGAAAAAAGGCCAGGAGGTCATCAGATGCAGCCCCCTTCCACACAGTGGCAGTCCCTGACGACAAAATGGAATCTGAACAGCACCAGTGGCCACGCTGGAAGAAAATAGCTGTGGTGACAAAGCTTGCATTTCTCTTGTGCAGGTATCTGAGTCTTCGCTATGCCGCCCCCGGCTCCCCCGCCACCGCCGCCTCCACCCGGCCCCCCGCCGCCTCCACCCGGCCCCCTGCCGCCGCCTCCTCCCTCCGCCGCCCTGCCGCAGGTGAGTCTGTCCACCTCTAGATCTTTCTCATCCATTTGTAAACGCTCACCTGCGTATAACCGACACCTGGAGGAGGCTTTTGCATTATTGATTGAGGAATGCACGCAAACGCGCAGAGAACTGGACAAAGAGGCGACTCTGTTCGGCAGGAAGGTGTTGTGTTTCCACAGCGTCCTCGTTTTAAATGAGCTAAAGCGTGGAGCAAACAGAAGAAACAGCTCAGTGATCTCAAGTTATTCTTCTTCTCTGTGCAGAGAAAATGTATCATACACAATATTCCCGTAGTTCCTTTTGTTTTTTATTTCTCCTAATTTGTAATAAAAATAATTCATTTAGATTTACAGTACTATGAATAAACATCGACACCTGTTTTATCTCTATCAAATGTTGGTACATCACAACCAGAATAATAATGCGGTTTGGGGTAAATTAAATGTTATAAAGTAGGGCATGGTTATGAAGTGGAACTCTGAAAAGTGTGGCATGCATTTTAAATCACCTTCCCTTTGCTCAATATGAGTAGCGGTATAAATGCAGCTGTTCTATGGAGACCTCAGAGGTCAGAGAACATTGACCAACAGCACCAGGACGACTAAAGAACACACCAAGAGTAAAGTTACAGAGAGATTGAAGTGAGGTTAGGACTATACGGTAACTATATCCCAGAGTCACCCAGTCAACGTCCAAATCTGACTCTAAGTGAGAATTTCTGGTAGCGAGACTTGAAATATCACAGGCTCTCTCTATTCGGTCTCACTGAGCTGAAAGTATTTTTGCAAAAAACTTGGCAAAATGTCAGCCTCTGTATATGTGAAGCTGGCAGAGGCACACACCAGAAGACTTGCAGATGTCACTAAAAAGTGATTCTAGAGATTGAAGGCTACTGAGTTAAAAAAAAAGCACTTAATTATATTTTATTATGCACTACTCTAAGTTTTATGAGTCTTAACAGAAATAATTGTTGTTTGTGGTACACAAATTTAAAAATATTGTGAGGAACTTTTTTTTCCCTCTTGTTTGTAACAAATTACAATAACATAATAGGCATAACTGATACTGGTTCTTTTCCCCCTGAGGGACACATAGTGCCCTTTGGAGCTCCAGTCTGGCGGAGGAGGTGGAAGAAACGCTCTGTTGGCCGACATCCAGAAAGGCGCCAAACTCAGGAAAGTCACGCAGGTCAACGACCGGAGTGCTCCTTCAGTTGATAGTGAGTCCCAGAACCGTGTCGTCTAATCATGTGGAGATTTGATAAAGAGTCTATTTTAAAATTCCCTGGTGTGATGTCTTCTAGTAAGAAGGGCATGAAAGATGAGAGTGTGGGGAGAAGATTATGTGGGTCAAAGGGGGAGTTGAGGTGTGGGGCGTCAATGTTGTGTGTCTGTGATCTATATTTAAACACATGCACACAAATTGGACTCTGCTCCACTTCAGGGAGGAATCCCTATAGAGGCTAATAAAACACACACAATGTGATTTATAATCTCCCTGCTTCTGATCTTCTTTTCTTAAAGAGTGAAATCTTATAATAATTTATATGAAGTGAAAGCCAAACGGTTAGCGGTTTAATCCACCCGAAAGAAAGTAGGTGGATATTAATTCACTGAACCTAATCTGAAGCATCAGTTTCAGAATTTTAACGTCTTCTATTGTTTTGACTCAATTTGATGACCACCATTGAGATATTGTTACCAATCAAATGTATTAAATGTATTTTTTTATAGAGTCCAAGACAAATACAGGAGATGTTGGCTCTTCTCAGAACCAATCAGCTGGGATTGGTCCCACAGGACCTTCTCTAGGTGGATTGTTTGCTGCAGGGTTTCCCACTCTCAGACCTATTGGTCACAGAGACTTACCAAGCAAGACCCAAGGTGAGTTCAACACACCCTGTCCTCAACAAACTCATATTTTGTTTACTGCATTAGCCTAACTATGGTTCTATCCTGTGAAGTGTCTCGGTCGAGCTCCTCAGCCTCCTTGAGGCCGCAGTGGAACCCTCCTACCTCGGCGGACTCGAGCAGCCTTCCAGAGTCTCCCAAGACGGCAGAGATCCAAAACTCCTTCCAACGTGTTCTCACTTCCTCCGCCTCTGCTCCACCCTCCCCCTCTCACGGCAGCAAGCTCCCTCCACCTTTCCCGGCGTCCTCACCACCCACGCCTCCGCCCGCCCCTCCCTCTGTGCCTCCACCTCCTCCGCCGCCTCAGGCTGAACGACCAGCCAACAAGCCGCCTTCCCTTCCCTCCTGCCCGCCTCCTCCCCCTCCATCCCACGTCACCAGGCCAACATGGCTACCTGTTCAACATTCTCACCCTACATCCTTTCCCCAGCCATCGACTCCTCCTCCTCCACCTCCCCCTCTCACACACCCGCCTCCTTCATCCATCCCAGACCGCTCGTCAGGTTACTTCTTCTACTCTCCGCCTCCCATGTCTGAACCGTCCAGGTTCCCCATTCTGCGTGATAGCCCCCTGGGACCTCCTCCACCTCCTCCTCCCCCACCTTTACCAATGCCCTTCACCCCAAGCTGCCCAACCACCCTTCCACCACCACCACCCAAAGTGGCCCCGGTGCCCTCGCCAGCCATGCGCTCGCTGCCACCGTCATACCCTTGCAACGTTCCCACTCGGCGCCCGCCGGCTGTGCCCAGAAGTTTAGGTAGGTGGTGCCTATGTGTCTTTGATGTCAGCGGGGAGGCTTTTTTATATCCACCTTTTACTGTCCACAGCTTTCTGCATCTTGCAGGTAGTTATAAATTGCTCGAAGGTTAAAACTGCACATAGTGAATTTGCAAAGTTGGAAAAGCTTTCAGTGCACTCTGAGTCATGTTTTAGAAAAAAAAAAAAGTGAAAGGCGATTAAATTCTTAGGTAACTTCTAAGCCATCTTGTATTGAACAAGTGAAAAGCCAAGATGTAACTTCATATGTGACTTTGTGGCATTTATTGACAGCCCAGAAAAAATATCAAGATTTCAGAATATAATGGTCCAGAGTTAAAATGGACAACCAGCTCATTTTCATTTAAATTCATGTCAAGACAATAAATGTCCTTAAAGAGCTGGTTGTCAGCTATTATTAACAAATTGTTAGAATCTGAATAGATTTCTTTGCATTCGGGTCCACATTAAAAATGAAGGCTCCAAGGCCTCAAGTTTGATACATGTGGTGAAGGACAACCACAGAGTTGCTGAGATACTTGGAAAACTGTCGTTCTTAAAATAATGGCCCAAGTAATTTTTAAGGTCAGAAGGTAAACCATGAGACTGTGAAACGATGCTGTGACAAATACAGTCATTATGAAATTGTTTGACTTGAAACGAGCTCAGACTGACTCCTCTGTGAGTGAACAGAAACATCTCTTTGCGGATTTTCCCTGCAGAGTCCAGGTTGGATTCTGTGCTGCTCGTTGCTCCTTGCCATCAAACCCATCACTCTGTGTGTGCTTTGGGAGTTAACATCAATAGCCGCTTTTTCCCTGAGTTACAAATAAGCGTCATTAAACATTCTGTGTGTGTTAGCTGGCATTAGATCAAATCGCGGTGACTTTGCATGTGGTCGGATCAAATGGCTGACGTGGGCCCCCTCGCCTCTCTGACAGGTGTGGGTCGGCTGCTGGCTCCTCCACCGGCTCCTCCGGCACGTTCCCCCACCACAGAGTTGTCCAACCGCATTCTTCCCCCTCCGCCTCCTCCTCCACCTCCATTCAGCCTTAGGAATGGACACCTCCACAGTCCGGGTAAAGTTTCACTACTTTATTGCGTATAAAGAGAGACAATGTGCAATTGTGGTAAAAAGACAGTACGCCACATTTAAATTGTGGGGTTTGATGCACTGTGTTTTCTGAAACCTTGATGACTTTCCTTTGTTTTTGTTTAACAACAGCTTAAACAATAGCCTGGGAGGTAAAAAGGACTGTGAAGTTTCGTATTGTAGAGGCTGAATTTAAATACTAAAATATTAATGACATTAATCACTTTAGAACCTTACAAACGGAGATCCAAATGTGCCTCAATTTCGCTAATGAATAAATAAATCATTATATCATTGGATAATTATTTATATATGTCAAGAAATTGTGTGGCAACTTTTATATTAATAATCAATAAAACATCATAAAATAATTGAATTTCAAATGAAAAATGATCATACATCATAATTATTAGGTAATTCTGCTTTTGTATTTGCCTTTTAACATTTATTTATGTACTTTAGTATTTTCATATTTTTTAACCATTAGCAGGTAAAAATTTTTTCCCCTCAATTTAAGTAAATTAGTTAATATTTTCCATTAGTAATTAAACTATTTCATAGCTTATTGATTTGTGGCACCTATGGGCCTCCATAAGTGAATGTTAAAACACACACAACATAGGACACTGAAGTAGATAAAGCTAAACATGAATATCTTCTAAATAGGAAAACTGTATTGATACAATACCCATGCAATTGAATCAACGCTGATACAATCTGTATTGATTTTATGTTATTTTGTGATATAGGTTAAAATGAATTTTTGAACAAGATGAGAACTCAGATCTGACGGAAAACGAGCTTGAATGTTTTAACTGTTGGCTGCATCTTTTCTGTCCAGCAGACGACTTTGAATCCAAGTTCCAGTTCCACTCTGTAGAAGACTTCCCGCCGCCCGAGGAATTCAAGCCTTTCCCTCGCGTTTACCCAAGCAAAGAAAACAGAGGTAGTCTCTCTGGACACATGCAGGACCGGGCCCCTTTTCCACATTTTGTCATTGCACAACCACAAACTCTAAAGCTATTTCAGGGGGATTTGATAGGGCACACATACGTCAAGTAGTGCATCATCGTGGAGTTGAATGAGAATGTAGCACAGCCACATATAATTGTAGCCTCTGTGTAGTTCTCAGAAGTGAACATTTGCAAACAAACGGCATCGTGAAACTCAAAGGACAAACCAGACATTGTGGAGAAGTTTAGCGCAGAGTTAGCTTATAAAACCCTACCCAGGCTTTAAAGCATCTGGTAAAACACTGGAGAGAAAGTGTGAAAAGGTTCTACTTTTTCAAGACACTAAATTATGTTCACACTATCTCCCAGCTCTGTGGTCTCGTTTGTTGCTTTGTCTTTCAGTGAACCCAAAGGCACCTGGGATCAGGACACACCTCAGATGAGTCACTGAGCCTCCGACTCCTTTCTCACTGCTCCTCGGTCGGCCGTTTGACGGCTCCAGACACTCACAAAACGGACACAGAGACTCACTTATTCCTGTTGCGTTTGCGTATTCTGCGTCAGCGTCAAACAGGGTCCAGCCTTATTCTGACTGTGCGACCTCTGACCTTTTTCAGCTCGGAATGTTTTCAATGCGTGTGAGGAGGAGGGCTCGACAGACTAGATACAGTCTCTACACACCAAGTCGTGGGACACAGTCTTCCATCACTTTCTTTTTTATTTTTTTTTTACATTTTTATCGATTTACACACTAATGGAAGGACTGAAAAGTTTGATTTTTGTCATCCTGTTACCTCAACTATATATTGTTTACTACATTAATAGTCGCAGCTTTTCAAAGACATACAAACTTGTTTTTGTCCAAGAGTTATGCCGCATTTAAATCAAACTTTAAGTAGAATTTTGTAAATTTCATTTTCTTGTCATTTCTAAATGGTCAAGAGAGACACACACACATGCACATTTTAGTGGATGTGCTGAATTTTGGAGTAAGAAACAAGGTTCTATGTACATCTTTTATGATTATTCAGTCTTACCTGTTTGCTTGGAAGTTTTTGCATCCAGCATAGTGGTGCTCCTTTGTGTTAATGTGACTTTCATTTTTAGAGAAACGACTGAGCCTGACATGCAAGGATGGACTAAAAGGATGTTTGGGATTAAGAGTGTATGAGCAGATAATACATGAGTTCAGCTGTTTTCCTCGTTCCGGTAGCAGCTAGCACAAAGTTTAAAAGCTGGGAGGACAGTGCCATCTGCTGGTCAAATGTGAAAGTATCAGCAAATGAACCAAACTTTGTTGCAAACGATTTTCTTGATGTGTGTCTACTCCATTTCTGAGTATGTCTACAGTGGAAGACTGACCACAAGCACTGAACAAAAGTATTTGGAAATAAAACAAACTGTGCAGTATTGGATGCACCATCTACAAACAGCTGTATGTGGTGTGTGACTGACAGCTACATTCTGAATATTGTGTTTGAGTTCCTTTTTCTAGAAAAAAAATCTAATATGTTTAAAAAAACTATTTTAATGCTCAATACAATAAATATAACACATGTTCCAGATTTTAAGATCAATTTGTTTTGAAGATAATAAAGTTGGATTCATAAAATTAGCTTTAGGAAGATGTCAACAACAAAAAAAGACAAGGCATTTCTACAGCAGGAAAAATGTGAGCACCATAGGTTGTTTTTAAATTAAGATGGAGTGGAGTCATTTGACCTGCACTTCTGGTCAGAAGTTTACATACCTTCATAATAGGCATGAAAGTCACTTTTCTGGACATACAGCTATGTACATAAAACAATGTACTTGAAAGCCAGGTCCATGTGAAAAAGAGAAACATCTTAAATAATTTAATGATTTACCTTCTTTGTTATTCTCAGATTTTAAAAGTCTTACCTCTGATTGAAAACTTGGGCTCAAAAGCAAAACTGTCTGCCTAAAATGAATGACGTAACCAGTTTCACAGTTCTGTTTCACACAAGCATGCTGCTTTAGAAAACCTGAGTCTCTTGTGTTTCAGCAATGAGCCACAGCAGTGACGTTACAGTTCGTCATGCTTGTAGGTGAACTCTCTTGCAGATAGGAAGCCGTCCTTGTTTGTGTCCTCTTTGGCGAAGATGTCGGCCGCCATGTTCTCATGTAACGTGTCATTGGGCGGGTAGCCGTAGCGCTCAAACTCCTTCCTGAGATATTCTGTCACCTGAAACATACAGACATAGTGAGAAATAGGGATTAAAAAATAAAGTAAATACTAACAAAATAAGATAAATATCAAGTAAGACAAACAATAAAAACTCTGTCTGCAATAATTATGTGAACAAAAACTGAAGAAGCCTGAAAGGGATAAACAATTTTCTTGACAGTCAGCTTATTGCTGAAGAGAAAAATCTTTGTTTGTCACCTCATGTTTGGAGAGTCTCCAGTCGTCATTGAGGTCCATCTCCTGAAAGGACTCGTGAGACCTCGGGCCATTTCTGATTTCAAGCAGTTCAACCAAGAAGGTCAGAGTGCTCTCCGGTGGGATCTTACCTGGTCACAGGCGACATGGCGATAAGTCAGGTGAAAAAATAGAACCATCAACATATTACTTCAACTAAACAGCAACTAGGCAGTTTTAGTTGTTCAGCCAAGCTTGTGGATGTTTTGACGTCCATAAAACGCATGGTTAGCTCCTACAGGGCGATAGTTTTGGTTAGTGTAGTTTGTGCTTACCAGAGTGAAAGCACAGTACTGTTTGCATGCTCCATGCTGAGTCAAAGCAGACGACTGTCCCACAATAAAGTTTCAGCTTAGCATGAAAACCCTAGAAAACCACTGGAAGTAGGACAAAGAAACATGAATATCACACAGAGAGGCCGGCTGTGTTCAGCAGCATGCACTTAAGACAGAAGACGAACAAGGCCTCTCTACCTTTCCCTTCCTTCCCATAGGCCAGGGCTGGAGGTATTACCAGTTTCCTCTTTTCTCCTGCACACATGTCCTGCAGGCCTAGATCCCAGCCTTTGAGTACTTCCCTGATCCCCAACGTGAACCACATTGCTTTCTCATTTTGCCTTTGACTGTTGGGAAAACATGATGAGAGATGTCATTTAAAGGTGTCCCCTGTGCCATGGTCCACATGAAGGGTTTCCCACAGAAAATCTGCTACACCTGGTAGTTGAGGCACTAGGGCAGCCCACCGGAGGCTCTCTGTTATTTTGAGTTGAAAAATGTTAAAAGTTACAAAAATTTGAATATGCATGAACAGGCATCATAATTTGGAAATAATAGCATGTGAAGTCAACAAAACTAGTGCGCACCCCTCACATCCAACTCAATGCGCTGCTTTGCCTGGTGTGTGTGTGGGTGTGTGTGTGGGGAGCAAGTAAAGCCGGGTGGCCCGCCAGGCTTATATTATACTGAGAAAAACCCCGAGTCTGCTTGATTACAACCAGTCATGTTTTGTAGTTTTATAAGACACAGAAACATTTTAGGAAATATTCAGCCATCATATGATGAGCAATGGGGCGGCTGCCCTTTTTTAAGGCAATATCCACACAACTGGTTTCCGCTGAGCAACAATACAGCTCTTATAAATGTTCACCAGCAACGTTTGAAAACTTGACAGTTCCAATTGGGTGCAGTGATATTTTCACAGCATAATAACATTGAGAAAGAATACAACTACTTTACAGTACAACACCATAATCAACACGATCCTTTGAAATGATCAGTGTTCTAACTTCTGTTACACAACATGCCAGAACAATGCATAATCCACCAGGAAAAAAAAACCAACCAAAAACAAAAACATCTTATTATGTTCCAATTTCTTTAATAAACAAGTCGTGGAAACACTTTGTACCTGGAGTAAAACATGGTGCCGTTCTCAAAGTATCCGTCATGGTGCACCAGCAGCATGTCTCCGTACTTGGACCTTCGGTGACAGATGAAGGGCCTTTGCAGAACATCCACGTCCACCTCGGCTTCGGGCAGCTTCCCGCCGCAGACGGAGGCCAGCATGGAGGAGCCGAGGAAGCTGAGCACGACCAGCAGCATGCCCACACTCCCGACTGCAGGTAAAGTTAAGAAGACACGCAGGAAACTCACAGCAGCAGCAGCTTCTCCTCTACGTGGCAGTGAGAAACGCTTCAGTGTTCAGGCTGCAGCTGGAATCTTTCCTCTGATTGGCCGCTTCCCACAAAGGCCCCGCCCACAAACTTTTCATCTGCTTCTCATCTGCAGACCGGCGTTGCTATTAAGTTTAGTTATTACGTTTACGCGTATTGGTTCAGACTTTAGGCTGATGCAAAAGCCAAAATGTTTTTATTTTATCTTTGCTATATTAGAGTTACCTCAGGGAAAATCCGTGACTTTTTATGGACCTGAGCGCATGGACAAAAGTACAATTTCTTGTTTAAAGTATTCTGCAAACATAAACGTGAAGGGGGGGAAATCAAAGTTGGAGTCAAAATTTATTAAAATATTCACATTTGTACCTCAGTTTTGTTTTATTTTGTTTTTTTATGAGTTAAATTCTTTGCAAAAGCATTTTTTTACACATACAAATGACTTAGTTCCCAGTGAGTGATTTAAAAAAAGATATTTCACCTCCACTCACCAACTTCAAATTATTCCTGGGTCCTTGTCCAACCTCATTTGTTACACTTTCAGTTGAATTCACCTCGGGCCAGTTAAATTAAAGACTGTTTCCATATCTGAGACACTTTAAGTCAAGAAAGTACGTTTGGAAACTAATAGTTTGTCTATTTCAAATTCACGGTTCTGACTGTTGAAAATAATCCCACGCAAAGTTTACAGTGCAACATGTACTGTTTGTTCAGACTTTGTCCATGGGTCTTGTGTAACACTCTGCTGGATTTTCCTCACACAAGTTAAATTTTTTTTTCACAAAAATGTCATCTGCACATAAATTGCTGCTTCCAAAATGCCTAAAGAGGTTGAAGAAAAAAAAGTTAATAAAAATATCAAAATACATCCAATGCCAGAAATTTCAGTTCCAAAAGATTAATTTTGTTTTTGTTTGTTTGTTTTGATTTTAATTAGATCTAATGCGTGAGCTGCACTACATCACAGAAAAATGTAGAACAAATAGTATTCAATAATCATTCACAAAGAGGTTTTCTGGATAGCAGTTTTATTTTTTTATTAATTACACAGATTTGTTTCATGACTGCCGACACAAGTTACATTGGACGGCAGATTCAGATGATTTTTCCCTGCCTCTACATACAAAGGCAGTGCTTTTTACAGACGAAAGAAAATGTCAGTGAGCACACATAATCATTCCACTTATAGCGTGTCCACATGTTGGTGTGTCCACAGTGTTCATTTCCTCCTGCATTATCTGGTTGATGTCCGTCCCAATAGAGAAAATCCATTTTGGACCCATCCGACCACATCCAGGACCCTTCCTTGTGGAGATCGGTGAGTCCAATCCAAGTGAAGGCCTGAGCAGGATCATAGCTCTTGATCATGGAATTGACAAAATTGTGTTCCTCCAGGCTGTGGATGGACACCAGGTTGCTGTCCAGGGACAGACAGTGGAGCTCCGCATCAGCCCAGGTCATCTTTGTGGCGACGTATTTGTAGCAGCGGCCGCTGAAGCTGTACCAGAATTCTGGACAGTTGTTTGTCGTTAGCATAAGTTCATTCCCGTTGGAGGGAGACGTGGCAACCAGAGCCAGACTCAACAAGAAGATCAACAGCATGTTGGAGTTACAAGACAAAAACTGTGCCTTGGCTTCCTGGTACTGGTTCCTGGTTGATGGCTTCCTGAACTTCACTGATGGATGTTATCAAATCATCCACCTCTTGTCATGTTGTGATGCGTCTCACAGAGAGGCGTCTGCTCGATTGGCGAGTTTCATTGGTCAAATTAATTTAGAAAAAAAAAGCGAGATAATTATTAACCTTACATTTCCCTTCAACCTCCAAGGGTTGCATCACAGTAAAGCTGGTACTTAATCTTTTTAACTTTCCCGTTATGTTCGTTTCTGAGGATCAGCAATAACCTGTGACGTTTTTAACCATGTAATTGTGTCAAAAACCAAAAACATTCCTCCAAAACATTTTTGTATGTGAATAAAAGAGACAGAGTGTGGGCCACACAAAATGAAAAATAATGAGTTGATATCATGATTATTTACAGTTGGGATTCTCATAGCTAAAGCAGGTGAAACATCTTTGAATGGAACATTAAGCTCAGAAACAGCTAAATGTTTGTGTGAAATAATACCAATGAAGTGGTTTTTGGTAATGCTTTTATCTTCTGTTCTTATCCTTTCTTAATGTAACCAGGATGACAGACATTTGAACAAAATGGTGAAGAGCTTTATTTTTCGCTCCATTTAAATATTCCCAATGAAATAGTTGCAGAATGAATTACTGGACTTTGTCTTTGTTGCCGGTGAGGAACAGGACTGTGTTTCTGCGTTGCAGAGATCTTTCTTTTGAACGAGAAAAGCAACAAGTGCAGGAATATCTACAGGAATCTGCTGCAGAGCTTTCTCTTCTGCTTGGCTGCTTTCCACACAAGCCCCGGTGTGAAGATCAAGTCTTTATTGATGTTATTATTTTATCAAATGTACACTTACATTCATACATCATGCTGCTTCGGTAACCGAATGTTATCACTACGTTTTTGCTAAAGGACATTCATGTTTTCCTGTCGGATTGTTTGCAATTTCTCTGCTAGAGGGGACGCGACATGGCTACAGCTTTGAACAGTTAAAGCAGTCTGCTGTGCGCTTATACACATTTGCATGCAATAACACAACATTGCACTTAATAAACACGTGTTTTGTAATACATTGCACAGGAGTAAGAACATTCAGCCGCCTTAGATTTGCATACTACAATACAATACAACCCTTTTTGTAGGAAAGAGCACATAGCTTATTTCTGCATTAACAGTCAGCATGTCTTAAAACAGCGTAAGTATTTGACATGGCACAATCGTTACATCCTTAAAATGTTTGCGTCCCCATCTGAAATGATTTTATAACAGTGCTGCAGCCCATGGAGCTGTTATCTGAGGCATGTTCAAGACCAAACCTCGAGGTGTGGAGGGTACTACAGGTGATGTAAAAAAACAAAAACACATTCTTCCATGACTTTTCATGCCTCGGAGCAGGCACTTCAGCTTCGCTTTAGTGCAGCCTTTCAGTGCATCACTAGTTGGTTTCAAAGTTTTGATACTCCAGAGGAAGTCTGAAGTACTATTTCTTCATTCAGGGAGGCCTTCTTTATTCAGGTGAAGTACTTGCAGCCGGTAGAATCAATGAGGCAGGACTCAGTGCATTTAAGCTGCCCAAGGGACCTGCAAAAAAAAAAAAAACATAGAGAATGGTTAAAAATGAATGAAATGTGCCATTTGCTAACAAGAATATAAAAGCTGGGCTAACTTGAATAAGTCGGGGAGTCCCGATAAAAACACATGGAAATATGTCTACCTCTGCATCTGCTGCTCAGTTTTTTTTGTTAAAAATAATTTAGCAATATTTCACATTTAAGAAATGCTGCACTTCACATTCAGTCAAGTATTCAGATATTTTAACTCCCTCACTATCCTCAATTTTTTCTTGGGTCCTCATTTTATGGGGAGATAATTGATCTCCCCATTAGCTTAATATCGCTTGAGAGGTCCACACTAAGAAAAAGAAGCTCCACAGCATTATGCTGCCACTACCTTTTTTGATTCACAATTGTGCACTACTTTGTGTTGGACCATGTCAGAAAATTCCAATAAAATACATTGGAGTTTGTGGTCGTCACGTGGCACGACTGGAAAGAAAATTGAAGGTGTATGAATTGTTTAGCGAGGTGCCATATTTAAAAACAGCTTCCTTTTACCGTATCGTCTTAAAATCTGTAATGAAAGTTGCTGTGATTGAAAACTAACCCAGTAAAACACATGTGTGCATGCTCTGAGAATCAATTAGCGTACCCGGGAAGATAGGACTTGCAGGTCTGATAACCAAAATCTTTCCCATCGCACTCTTCTATACCCTCATGTCGGTATCCATCTCCACAGTAGGCCCACTTACAATCTGCGGGGAGCAGGGGGAGAGAAAATGTGAGAACGCAACAGAGCAGGAGAAAGAAGACGTTACTAATTTCTTTGGCACGGCAACCCGTGTTCGGTGATGCCAGCAAAGCATTTTCCTGCTAATTTAATTGGATAGAGGCAGAGCATAGTGAGAGGTTGGCAGGGAAAGGGAAGGGCAAGGGATTAATAAAAGATCAAGGAAAGTCTTTTTTGACTGCGCCACATGAGCACAGGATCCACTGGCAAGTTGCGGTTTTGCTCTGCAGCACGCTTCTATTTTTCTTCTGGCAAAAATCTAGAATAGTTTATTTAGTGAAACTGCTGCGTAACAAGCCGAAATGAAACAGAGAATATAGCCTGTGCGTTTTACTTACTGAGACAAGCGTCTGTGACGATCTGGTTTCCGTCGTCGCACTCCTCCCCGTGCTGGACCTGCACCTTCCCGTCCCCACACACGCCTGCTCTCTCTGGGACGGTCTCCGTGGACTGGAACGGCTGAAAGGGCTGCAGGGACAAAAAACATAAACGGTGTCCAGGTGTTGCTATGCAGACTAGAATAATGCTAGCACGAGATCATTTTAGAGACTAAGCATGTTAAGCTTTCAAGCTGAAGATCAGTACATGTTCGAATGCACAGTCCTTCACAGAAGTATTGCTACTTACCACATTGCATTTGATTGAGATTTTATGTGCTAGACCAGGGTTCTGCAGCCTTTACAGTCCAAAGAGCCATTTTTACCCTCAGTGAGGCTAAAAGAGCCTGGTTTTAGTTTTGCACATGGAAGATTAACTTTTTAATAAGACATTTTTGATGAATATCTGCAGTACGAAACTTGTCATTTTTGATGAGTTGACATGTTATTTCTGTTCTCAGGTTTTAAAATGACATAAAAACCAACACTTGCAAACAGAAGATGGATACATTGTCAATATTTGTGAAAATTATGTAAAAAGAAAAAAAAGGACACAGATTTCAAGTAATGACAGAAAACAATTGCATGTTTTTGCAAATGCAAAAAATGTAATTTACACTTTTGTAGATGAAAAATTGTAATAAAATGTTATTTGTAATTAGATTTAAATTAATTTAAGTTAAATTAATTTAAATTAAATTACATTTAAATTTAAATTGCATAAATAAAATTGTTACAAATATAAATGGTGTCAACAACTGATGATGGTTCTTATCATATCAGCTGGAGCTACATGCGGCTCTGGAGCTGCAGGTTCCAGGCCCCTTTGCTAGATAAACCAAAAGCACATAATATTCAAGTAGAAGGAAGTTAATATTTTGGTTTCCAGATTTGTTTTATTTTTGCAGGCAGAAATGTAAAACAAAATATGTCCTGCATTTGCATCAGCTTCAGATACCCCTACTTAGAGTCAGTGCAAGAAACAGAAGTGTTTGGCCTATAGGGAAAATACCATATGGGAAGAAAAACGGACAATGCATATCAGTCTAAAAACCTAATTCTCATGCTAAAACATGAAGCCGGCAGCATGATGCTGTTTCGCTGAAACTGTGTAGTCCTGGTAGAAAATCTGTTGAAGTTTGTTGAAGGGTTGAATCTGGGAGGAAAGGTTCGCCTCTCATTAGGACAATCATGAATGTCCAGCTGGGACATTCATGACATTCATGGAATCAAAGTATATTCATGTGTTACCATGGCCCAGTCAAAGTTCAGCATTCATGACCAATTGAGAATCCATGCTGCTTTGCTTTATTCCCTTTATTTTTTGTTTGTTTGCAAGACATTATAACACTGAAGTACACCTTTGAATCTAATTACCTGAATGGGGCTCCAGCCATCTTTATCCTTATAGTAAAGCATCCGCTTATCTTTCCTTAGTACGATTGCGTTTTCGACATGAAGGCGACCCATCTCCTCCTCACTGTTCACCACAAAAATCTGCACAAAGAACCGGAGAACACTCACAAACTTAGTGGCCACGCTAACGGTAGGATTTCAGTTTGGACCGTCAACACTCAGAGTCTCACAGCAGTGAGTTTGTTGCCGCCCCGTCGCGTTGTGTAGTAGTTTCCAAAGGGGGCGTTATTTGATCCAATTACAGTATCACAGTCGCAGTGACCTGGTGGTCCCGGAAGGCCCTTCTGTCCTTTCTCCCCCACCAAGTAGAGACCTGCAAAAAGAGTGAATGGATAATGCACACAGGGGTCAACACAAAATATAGAGGTGAAAACAGATGTGTGTGTGTGTGTGTGCGTGTGTGTGTGTGTATAGGAGTGTGTGTGTGATGTGTTACAGTACCTGATGCTGGAGGTCCAGGTGGACCAGGGAGGCCATTGGGACCTGCAGGTCCTGGGGGTCCCATGACTCCTGGGGCCCCTGAATGCCCTTTCATACCCTGCACAAATTCAACAAAAGGCCAACCGTAAACACAAACACAGAGAACTGTCACTTTTATCAACTTGCTTAGTACAACTAGAGTCACGCAAATAGGACAAGATTTCTTTACCTGTTTGCCTCTTTTCCCTGGTCTCCCAGTTGGTCCTCTCTTCCCAGAAACACCTGGCTCTCCCTTTGGGCCCGCCTCACCCTGAGAGAAGAGCATTCTTCAAGGCTCCGGCTAATTTTTAATGTGAAAATTCCTAACAGCTTATTCAATACCTTCTGTCCGAGCATCCCAGGCAAACCAATTGAGCCCTGGACAGAGAAAAATAGTTATGAAAAATAAATATCACTACAGCAATTTAAATCAACTGTCTTGCATCAGACTTTCTTCACTTGGAACTTTTAGCTGGAACGCAGTATGAGCAGATTATCATAGAACCAAACAGAAGTACTAAACGCAAAGGGACAACAGTTTCCAGGTGACTTCAGGACCTGCGGTGTAAACAAACAGACCTTGTCCCCTTTTGGTCCTGCAGAGCCACGGTCGCCTCGGTCCCCCTAGTCAAAAACAAGAGATTGAAATGTGTCAAAGTTCAATCACAAACAGAAAGCAGCAAGCATTTGCTGGAACTTCCTCCATCGGCGGGTCAGTCGTTGATATTATTTTGTTGCATAAATGTAACGAGGTAGGCTATAAATCACTCTAGAGTCAGGAGGATCCCCCCATTTGGTGAGACATTATTGGTTCTTTTCACATTTCCAACTTCTTTTGGAAACAGTTACGGTTTAGCAGGAAGAACATGTGCCTCTAAGCTTACCTTGTCACCTTTGTAACCAGGTAAACCCTGAAAAGGCAAGCAGAGAATGTTAAGACTGACCTTTAATCTACACGGCTGTTTTCATGATGGAAAGATCTCTCTGACCTTTGTTCCCGGTGGACCTCGCAGCCCTGGTAAACCCATGAGTCCTGAGTCTCCCTTTTCTCCCTTACAACCAATTTTTTTAAAAAAAATCAATAATTTCCCAATATACAGATGTCTATGACACATATTTATCTAGTGTACCATAGTACAGTGATATATTTGTACCTTATGGCACTTACTTTGGGTCCTTGTGGACCAGGAAATCCTGGAAATCCTGGTGTCCCTGGAGGACCGGGAGCGCCAGGACGGCCCTGCAGGAAAAGAAAGTCCCAGTTAGAAATACTGATGCATATATTCATGTTTGTTGGGGAGAGGGGGGCAGAGGTTTCAGTATTTTTTTTGAACATATTACAGAATCATGCAGCTTGCTTTTCTGCAGCAAAAACAAAGACACTGGCCAGAACTGGGGAAAATATAGGTGGATGTGGGAAAATCTGGAAGAAATCTGTTCAGACTTGGATTTTTCTTCGTTTTTTTTTAAACATGCACTATTTTTCTTTCCTTTCACAACAACCTCACAAAGGCCTACCAAAATAAATGAATAAATAAAAAATCCCAAAACATTACAGTTTGTGGTTGGAGCATGACAAAAGGGAGTATTGGCCATTAAAGAGCTTATATCTTCCCATATATATATATATTGAGTAGGATTTTGATATATGAAGAAAGAATGTCTGGATGAAAAACCTTAAAAACGAGGAATGGAAATAAATCTCTAATTAGTCCCACTCTGCAGCTCTCCGCTAGCTGAACAGAAGAGAAGCTTCCTCACATCTTGTTTACACCTGAACTGCATCCCAGAGCTGCAGCCCGTGCTTTTGTTCGGCAGGCCGTTTGTAAGGCTGCGGCGTCTGGAGGCACAGTGGACCTCCTGTGTGATTTATCATGGAAAGCAAAAGCACTTAGGAAGATTAAAATGCACAAGCAGAGTGCTGGTGGAGGGGCTTGATCAGCAGGACTTGGGTTCGGTCGTGGAGGTGAATGGGACCAAGCCAAGGAGAGTAAGGGAAAATGAGCAGGGTACCGAAGGATGCCCTGGGAGATCAAACTAGTGCTCACTGCTGAGACTAATGTTGCATGGTCCATTTAGTGGCGGGAGCAGGATTCCGGGGATATTGATAAACAAATTGGATTATAGAAAGAGAATGGTTGGAGGAAGCTGGAGAGAGATATGAAGGAATACGAGCAGTAGAGAAGCTGTTCACCCTTGCCCCCGGACGTCCAATTTCTCCCTGGAGGACGACAAATGGAAGAAGAAGAAGAAGAGATGTCGTTAGAGTGCAGGTGAACGCAAGGACAAATTCCTTCAGCAGAAAACTGAATTAGGGACATAATTTTCAACGAGAACACACACCTTTCTCCCTTTTGGTCCCCTTATACCAGGCAATCCAATTTCACCCTGAAAAATGACACAAAACATTTTTATCCAGCTTGTGTGACCTATACTGAGGACAATACATGTGCAGCATCATCAATAGTAACAAGGTTATGGAAATTCCTGTCTAAGCTTGCTTAACAATATTTCCATCTACTGCCTTTAATGTCTGTAGCTATCCAATGCAACATGATTTAATCAAAAGCTAATGCATGGGGCCCGGCAAAGCCATTTACACCCTTTGACCCTTTCTATATTTTGCCCCCCCAAAAAATCATCCCATCAACATGATGCTGACAGCCACAAATTAAAGACAAATGCAGAAGATTACAATTCAGAAGTTATAGTTAGTAGATAGAATCCACTGAGGGATAGCATTGTGGAGAAGCGAAGGGTCGGATTAAGTTTCAACCTTTATCCCAAGAACTGGAATGGCTCAACTGCAAACCAGCAACGACATGGACATATGCCTGAACTGGACATGTGGAAGAAAGTGTTCTGGTCACAAGGAACCAAAGTTGAACTTTTTGGCCTACAGATTGACACTTCACACCAAACTGCATGCACCATCCTAGTGGTGACACACGGAGGTACCAGCATCGAGTTGTGGCGATATGTTTTTTTTCCAAAAGTGCTCTAATTGCCATTTTCCGGTCAGTCTTTGAAGAGCTTAACCTTCCGATTCTGAATTGGACTGACTTTTTGTAAATGACTGACACTGTCAGGTGTTATAAGGTTACACCTGCAATGTTCCAATCTTATTTTACTGAAAAAGACTGAACAATGCCCATGGCACAAACTTTTTACCTGCACATGAGGTAGCGCATGTGACCCAGTGGGCGGGTCTGTCACTCACTCCTCTCTCAACCCTAATCCTAACCCTATAGGCAGAGATTTTCACATCTCTGTGGAGATCAGTGCAAGATCCATGGATAAGATCATTTTGACATTTGAGTATCGGCTGATCACCTAAAGCTAAAGAATTCAGGGATGATCAATCGGTGAAACCGCTAGCGTCTTCAGAAATACGTTGAAGTTTGTGGCTACATTGGGAAGAATTCAAAAGACACAAATATGTTTACAAAGCACTGTAAATGTAATATGTTGAGGTGAGTCCTCACCTGGGGCCCTGGGGGTCCCGGGGGTCCTGGTGAACACTCTGGGGTTACATGCGTATTATCCAGTCCTTCACCTCCGATAATGATCGGTTCCAATAAGCTCAGTGCGTCCTTCATTTCACCAATCATGTAAACACATAAATAAAATCAACAGCTCCTCAATGAGTGCGGATGGAAGCAAAGGCCGACGAGGAGGGGGTGCGGCACACAAACTTACAGGCGTGCCCCTCTTCCAAAGCAGAGGAGGAGGAGGGAAGAGCGGCGGTGGGGGAGGCGACGTGAGACAACAGGGGTCAAACCTCAACGCTTCATCCAGGAACCTGAGCGCTGGGAGGACGCCCCTCTGCATCGCTGCGGCGAAACACTCATGTTACATGGTCTACTGTTACATAACATCTGGGCCTGTTTCCGTTCCGCAACACACACTCCCAGCTGATGCCTTACCTGAGCGAGGCGACAGGATGCCGTCCAGGTAGGAGTGGTGGGATAAGGCCCAAGCGGGACACAGAAGAATGGGAAGGGACAATGCAATTTTCATCAGCTCCATGCTGCCTATGTGCTGTCCCTGAAATGAACACAAGGCAAGCTCTCCTAAACACATGCGCTAATCCTGCAGTCCCCTGGCAGCTGTCACTTTTCCTTTTTCCTCCCTTCAGAGCCCTCCACCCACCCACACTCTGGAGTCTGTCACTGCTGCTCTATAAACTTGTTGAAGCCCCTCACTGCAGCAGATGCAGCCACCGCTGTAATTCCAGCCCTGCACATACGCCCTCTGTGCCAGAATTAGACTAGGAAGAGGGGGTGTTTCACCAGCATACAGTGGACGCGCACACACACACACACACACACACACACACACACATCATGCAACTGTAGTGAGACTGTAATGGGTCCATTCAAACACAGTGTTAGAGTGAACACACATTTCAGCATTGTTGATCAAGGGATGTGATTAAACCATGGGGGATGAACCCCCGGTTTAATGTTCTCCTGCTTTGTATAAGCGGTACAGCCCGTCCAGTAGAGAACCAACATTGGAAAAGTGGCATCAACAGGCTCTCTCCTACCTTGCACTTGAATCTGATTGTATGGCACCTGCAGACACGCTGTCTGACGCTCCTCTCACCTCAGAGGAATGAAGCGCGCCGAGCAGACGAGGCTTTGCTGACATTCACCGTGCAAAATTTGCAACCCTGATCAATCAGATCCTACTTGTCGACCTCCTCCTTCCCTCCGCCGGTCGATAACAATTTTTAAAGGAATGCAGTTTTTTTTTGACCCCCTCTTCTCTGTCCTCCTCCTTGTTTTCTTCCTCCTTCTGGCGCTGAAATCCCCAGCAGAAACCACAAAGCAGCGGTGCCTCAGACCCACTGGATCGACTGGATCTGATGAATCTGTTGTGCCATCCGGATCGACTTCAGATTCGCTCGGACGGATCTGACAGTTCTAAGGAGCGCCAGCACGCAGCTCTGGCGCGATTTGTTATCGGTCTCTTGTTAGAATAATGGCGCCCTCTGCTGGATATTTAGAATAAGGCATAAAACCTATATTTACATACAACGCTTTAAACTCGAGGTACAAACTCCCCCAAATAGGAACTAACTAACTAACTAACTAACTAACTAACTAACTAACTAACTAACTAACTAACTAACTAACTAACTAAGCAAGCTATTTAAGATGTTGATTGTTGAATGTGACACTGGGAGCATAAACACCTTCTTCCCTTTCCCGACGGCCCCCATGGTCAGCGGCTGGAAGGGGAGGAAATGACAGCAGGAGGCACAATCAGCCACACTGCGGCAAAGACATGCCTCGAGATGAGCGGAAAAACACAATTTTTACCAAATGTTTGGACACACTAAGACTTCTTTAGTCTCTCCAAAAATATTGTCAAACCTACAGCAGGCTGATATGTGGAGGTGATGAGCAAAAGCTGCTAAACTTGAAATATTTTGAATATAAAAACATGCCTTATAGTGCTTTTGTGATGCAAACAATGGCTTTTAAAAAATCTTGGGAGGAAAACCTGACCTTCAGATGGGATTGTTTTCCTACAGCCTCAGAGAAGAGTTGGGGCCTTCTGTCTCAAACTCTGTCTCAAACTCACGCTCCTTCAGAGTTCAGCGTTTCCCCGTATTTGGACCTCAAAGCATCTCAACGAAAATGTTAACGAGAAAGGTGGCTAAATCTGCTTAAAAAGAGCTGTGGCTCACGCCCACTTAAAAGGACAGGTGTGCTGATAATGCAACGCATGGCAAGGAAATGCTGTGTCATGATTATGAAGCGGTTGTGTGTTCTCCTCCTCCTACCATCTTTCTCTCCTGTCTCGTCTCTGTTTACATATCATTGTATCCGATCGAAACACCAGAGCGGGACGCGCTCTCCTGTGGCGCCTGCTTGTCACTTTATCATATGATTTCAGTTGCAATGAAGCCATAACTTAAAGCAGCCTCTCCAGTTCTCAAGGTCACTCCATATTTGAGTGAAACAGCACTCAGGTTATTTTGGTGGGAGAAGGCTGAGTGGAAGTGAGTTGTCATTTTTCTTGAAGGCTTGACTCTCAGTAACTTTTCCCATGATACTGATGATGTAAGAAACAAAAACATGAATAAAACAGCTTGTCTAAAGCGAAAGGTTGTGGTATTCAGAAGATAATTGAACTTGCAACTGATTCCAACTAGTAAGCAGATGAGCAAAAACAAAAAACAAAAAAACATTGCTTTATTATTTGGGGTTAGAAATCGACAATCAGAGCAAGGATCGTTGTGTCTCTGTTTGGAATAATTGTTTTAACGCAGCATGGCGATCCACTGATTTCGCAGCGGTAGCATTAAAGAAACAACGCCTTGACTTTAAAAATGTTTGTCTCCCTCTACTGGTCAAATATGGGAAAGCCTGCACTGTCACATCCTCTGCTTTTCCTCCTTCACAAAACTAGTTGATCATTGATTGATCTAATGCTTCACGCATTTATGTTCGGTGGCAAAAGTCAAGATTAATTTAGCAGCTCTGGACATATTTCAGAAAAAAAGAAAAGCTTGACATATTATGGCAACTTTTTAAAGCATTTTGCATGCAAAAGCGTTCTTTACGAATTGATGGTTAAATATTACACAGATTGAGATTGTTAAACAGAGACCCATATTATACATGTTGATGGCATAAGCAGAAGACAATGTAGGAAAAGGCAAGTGATTGTACATTATCATTTGAACTACTGACCAATGCATTTGCAACCTGCTCAAATGAATGATTAACTGTTCGTTGGATGTGTGCAAATGACAATGATTTGAATACTGAACAAGTACAGTTTTGAACATTTCAAATCTGTTCTGAGAAATGCAACAAAATGACTGAGAAAACAACAATAATGCACTTGCCATTACTGTAATTGTCCAGTAACGCAAAGAAAGGTCTGTAACCTTCAACTATTTATTTTTTGAGCAGTAAAAATACATTCAGCTCATTTTATTAAACACAAACTAAATGCTGATGATGTAAGAGAGAAACCTGTGTTGGCAGGTCAGAGTTTGGCAAACCTGAAAAAGCAAATGTTATTCCTTTTTTTTTTTGCAAGGAATGCTAGATGGTGTTTAACAATATTTTCATTTATGTTTGGGATATTAGAGAAGATCTGACCTTTTCCTCATATGAATTTTTCGGTAATTTAGAAAAGAGCCACCCGAGGATGTTGTTATCCTTTCACACAACAACATGGAGTTTGATGAAACTGAATTTCCTTCATGCAATGTGAACACAAAGGCGGATTATCTTTTCAGAATTTGGAGGGCAATTCTGCTCCTAATTGCTCCTTGACTTAAGAGGAACTTCTGACATGTGGAATCCACCAGGGTCATTCATTCAGGTGAGCTCTCCATGCAGGTTTTCAATCACCAAGCTGCTCAACATAAAATGTTTCTTGCATGAATTTCTCCTTATTATTTCAGTACAGTGCTTTACTCAAATTAATTTCTCATGAAGCAGCTAGAAAACTGAATACAAAACTCCTGCTAAGAAAAACCAATAACAGGAAAAAAACAAACAAAAAAATCCCCTCTCCTCCTCGTCTAATCCATGATCTGAGGTCTGAGACACAGCAAAAAGGAAAATACGAGATCTGACACAAAACAATTGTATTTATTGGTTCAGACATTGTAAAACACCCCTTAAAAATGTAAATGATGTGACATGACTTATTATTATTAATCCAGCTGTTGAATTACAAATATATACATAACCTATCAAGATCTGTGCTGGGAAATTTTTGAGTTGTTGTTCTTGAAATACGAGAAAATGAGAACAAGAGTAAAATATTTTCCCCATTCGACCCATCCATAAAAAGGGCCAATACAAATCTAAACCAGAACTGAACAATCAATTTCTTCAGCAAGAACAAACAAGATAAATATAATTGAACAAATTAAAGTTTAGCATGGGTGCTATGTGCGTCGAGCAGCTAATTCCTCAATGAACAGTCATAGAAAAATAAGAGAAACGACACATTTTTGACTCATAAAAGCTCATTCAATCCCTCTATGTGTAGCTGCTGGAACGCAGTCTACTATGTCAGTGCATTAGGAGGTTGCGTCCTTTAAGTAGGCAATAACATCTGCTCTTTCTTTCTTCTTTGTAATCCCACTGAAGATCATCTTGGTACCAGGAATGTACTTTTTGGGATTTTCAAGGTAGATATTCAGAGTTTCCTCATCCCAGATGATACCTAAATGGAAAACAAGACAAAGACAATCAAACACATCTGGTGTGTGCACTAAAGACTTCAGAATGTCGGTGGAATGGGTTTATAGAGCACAGAGAGCCAGAGAGGAACAGCAGTGCTGCCAGCTGCATGTTCAGACCTGCTGTCTCACTTTATATAGAGAAAACCAGCTCCTATTAAGGAGGAATAAGAAAAACATGGACATTATGTAGAAGGAAAGCTATTAATAGCTTTTTCAGATTGATTGAAAAAGAGAAGAAACATTAGGCAGGTTATTGTCAAGAGTGTAGCCATATCAGATTTGTCATCTTTGACCTGTGTACTTCTGAAACAAATGTTTTGCTGAAGACTTGCAAACAGTATGCAGATGTAATAAACAATTTTCCACATTAGGTCGCTTGAGATCCGGCACTATTTGTCACATTTCTTAAAAATGATGGCTTTGGCTAACTGATATTTTTCTGAGATATTTGGTCACTGTAACTAGTGGATATGTGTTGACGTAAACGATTCCGTTGTGGCTTTCGCCTCATGTTCACAATAAAACATCACTGCAGTCTCAAGTCAGCCACAGTCAGGTTATCTTCCATTGTTATTCAGTAATTAGCTCCATCCATCTTCCTGTCAACTTTAACCAGCGTCACTGTCCCTGCCGGTCATAACGGCCCCACAGCATGATACGGTCACTACCATGTTTCACAAGTGGGAGAGAGTTTTCCATGTCAGCAATAAGAAGTTCTGATCAGATGATCTTCTTCCTGTGTTTCTTCTTATGACTTTCTTTTCTTTCTTCTTTAAAGTCCAGAGTTCAAGAATTCACTAGTAATACGTTGTCAATCACATACACACATACACCTACTTTATAATCCGTTGTAGTGCGAGTTACCTGGTCAATTTTTCATTTCTAGAATAGAAATGTTCGGTGCATTTCTGTAGTGATTCATACCTTTCTCCATGTTGGCCTGAGTATAGGAGTATCCAGGTGCCTGGCCCGTCTTCCTGCCAAACAACCCCCAGAGGTTTGGCCCCACCTTATGGCGACCCCCTTCCTCCACAGAGTGACACTGGGAGCACTTCTGGACAAACACCTTCTTTCCTTTTTGGATGTCCCCCATTGCCAGCAGCTAGTTTTGGGAGAGAAGGACCGGCGGAGCCACAATCAGCCACATCACAGCAAAGAAATGTCTGATGAAGCGAGTGGAAAATGACCACATGCGCAAACGTTTGGGCAAAAAGTTTTAGCAAAAATTTTGTCTGGACGAGAGACTGAATGAGAGCGTGAAAACTGCTGGACTGAAAAAGTGAAGAGCAAGGGATAACAAACAGAGGAGGATCAGATCAGATTCCTACCGTCAGCGTGGAATGTGTTGAAACGCCCTCAGGAAAATGTTTTCACCTTTCTTTCTCAAATTCACACTCCTTCCCTTTTGATTGCTTGCTGACCAGAAATGATTGTTTTGCTATGATTGAACTGTCCTTGAACCATAGAGCAAATGAAATAAAGTTTCAGGGAGGGGCGTAGTCCTGTGGTGGTTGAATGAGCTCTAATATTTGGGCCACACCCACCTTGACAGACAGGTGGGGTTTGTTTGCCATGTATGTCAGTTACATGTCTGAAATGCTTTGACTCAGTGCTTGTTATCAAACAGTTTGAGTCAGATTAAACTCCTAATCTCAGTTTCTCTGTAAAGAAATCTGATTACAAAAAACCCAATGAGGAAAATTGTGATAATCCTCATAATAAAAGGCAGTTTATAATATGCAGCCAATTGTAATAGTTATGAAGCAAATATTGCATGGGAAGCATCTGTTATATTCACTAAATATTTCTGTGTGTAATTTCAACAAACTGTTATTTCTCAAAGCAAATGCTTCGAGAAGTGGCACCCATCACCCAAACTGCTGTATATGTGATACATTTAGATGATAGTCTATGTAATACAAATTCTAATAAAGTACTTTAAAGTCGGTGTATTGTGAAAAAATGTGAAATGACATGTGGTCCACTATAAAGAATATATGTGTGTCTTTTATTCTTTAAGATTAATATTGGGTAACTTGCTCAACTCATTGCCTAAAGGAAAAAAAAAAATCCATACTTCTGCTTACTCTTATACCCCTGCCAAATGTAGATTTTAACACGTTTTTTGTCAAAATCAGCTTGACTGAAAGGAAATAATTGAGCCTTTTTTTTTTTGTCAGTAGTTTGAGTACTGTTTCCAATCCATATGTCTTTAAAGGCTAAATCTAAGTGTGGCAAAGGGTATTATGCACATTTTGTTGTTCTCTCGTGTTGTAATAGTGACATGATGAGGTTGTAACACAGCAGTCAGGAAAGCTTTTGGATTTAAAGCATGTTCATTGCACACTCTAGTGTTCAAAAAATTTAACAGCTGCTTCCTCAGCAGCTTACTATAGCAGGTTCAGTTTTGCTATTTTTTTTTTAATGAACCACATTAAGTTCAAATCGTATCTTCTCCCCTCTGAACCAGTTCAAGAGAATGACTCAAAGTCAAAGGGCTTTATGATGAACCTTATGCTTTCTCATCAGAACATCCCTGAGGGAGTTTCTACAGAAATGATGATGAGTTAAGATGAATAACACAATAACATTTTGCATTCTCATTGCTTGAAGCTTTACTTTTTGTATGAACTTCATTGTTCTATAAGATCAGTTTCAATACAGAGAAGGACAATATTTTCAGAAGACAACATCTACATGGAAATAGTCCAGATCTAAGCTTTGTTTTAATAGAAGATCTGGCTATCCTTTGAAGGTCTTTTCGTCCGTGTCTACATCTTCTTCAGAACTGGTTTTGTAGTCAAAATCTTCAGTCCTGTTGAATAACAGCACATTTTAATTATAGCAAAGGAAGCAGGGTTAGAGGTGAAGATGAGTGTAAGAGGGATATTAAAGATTGTGTCATTTCCATACCAGTGCAAGCCAGCGTCCAACAAGTGTTCACTGGCCAGCGTCCTTAGGAGACTCCAGTAAGGAGTGTTTCTTCCAAATCTCTGAGGCAGCATCGGGCTGGGGGCGTCCCGCGCCTCGCGGCACTCTGCACACATCTGGATCAGCTCCCAGGACCTCCCGAACCTCTGGGGCATGTTGGGGCTGGAGTTGGGCACCCTCTCGTCGTTGCTGTCCCTGCCGAAGCGCAGTGGCATGTTGGCGTGCATGTGGAGAGGTTTGGCCGTGGGGGGGTACAGCTTGATGATGGTCGGCAGGCTGTTCCTGCCGACCCCTGGACCCCTGGTGGCGGGGGTCACGTGCAGCTTGAAGCTCTCCAGATCCAAACTTCTGCGGAGCCCGCTCGGTATCTGGATATGTTACAATTGCATTTAATCAGATCAAGTGGACTTTCAATGTGGGTCTTTGTGTTCTTCAAAAAGTGACAGTGACAAATCAACGTCTATTTTTAGTTGTTTTATAAGCTAAAGAGCCAACATTTAATGTTTATTTTTCAAAAGTAAAATGGTTTGGTGTTTTTTCCTTTTGAGGCTCAATCAATTGATCAATTAGTCTTTATTTATGGAGCATGTTTTTTACATTAAATAACCCAAATCACACATATAAATAAACTTAAAATGAATTAGACAGTTATTTTGAAACAGGAAGTGAGAAAGATCCACTGAAAATTATTCAAAAACAATAGCCTTGAGTTACAAAATTGATTGATGACGATGATCATTACTCTAAGAGGTGATGTATAGCTGTAATCAAGCTGTACTCTGAAAGCATGCATTAAAGCGGCTCTTTTTCCTTGATTGAAATAGTTTATTGTCATTTGAAAATCTGCGCCTTATACTACGCCTTAGGTTTTACCCACACAAAGCTGGAGTAAAGACTTCCACTCAAGTGCAAGATCTAAAATAAAGTTATAAAGAGCCATAATATAAGATGGGTTTCAGAAAAAAAAAAATCCACACTATTGATCGGTTGACTGGTTGCTTCTGACCTGCTGGCGCGGCTGTTTCCTCACAGAGTGCCTGTCGTCGATGGCGCTCCGCAGGGTTTCATCGTTGTGGAAGGATTTCCCAAAGATGTGGAAGTCAGACGCCGCCGCGCCTCCAAGACTCCCCATCATCAGGAGAGCTGACAGTATCACTGCTGTCAACATGCTGAAATCTGTTGCTCCTTTCCGAACTGTGTTTGGACATGTGGCTTATTTCCCACTCAGTGACCTGCTGCGTGTCATATAAGCCCTGTGGAAACCCACGTCACATTAAAAAAATCTGACACGCACAGGCACAAAGTGATGCATGCACATTTATTTTTGGCTTCATTTAAACAAGGCAAATTCCTGTCCGAGCCACCATTCATACCTGGAAAGGTAGCTATGTATGTATGCACTAATTGGGCTCCTGAATAAACAGGACACTTTTGTTTCTTCTAAAGAGCAGATAACATAAAAAAATAATAATAATCACACTTTACTATTTGTACTGAATCAGCCATCAGTTGGGAACAACTTATAACACTGGAACCAAAGTTTGATCCTTCAAGAGGCTTTACAACCAAACATCCTAACCTATGAATTAACATATAATGCATATTGAAGTCGAACTGTTCACATTCTGAAATAAAATCAAAATCTTCAGAAGTCATCTGATGCCTCAGAGGTTTGTCAGAGAATTGTAGTGAAGGGGCAGCATCACAAAGACCAAGAAAACCACAGCGGACAGGTCAGGGAGGCAGTGGTAGAGAAGTTTAAAGCTGGTTTGGGGGTGAAACAATATCCCAAGTGCTAACTATCTCATGAAGTACATTCATCATTATTTTGTATTGATCTATCATTTATAAATCCAGTGAACTGCATTGAAGTTTGCAGTTCTTACTTAGCAAAATGTAACATTAATGCCAATATAAGGAATTTTTAGATGATTTTAAGAAATCTTTTACTAACAATGTACTAACAATTGCTCATATTGAACAAAGTCACACACATTTTTTTTCAGGTTTTGTCAGCTCCAGTGACCTTTATTTATTTATGTTTTTTGATAATGGTCAAACAGGAAAGTGGATTGTGAGAGAGGGGGAAGACATGGGGCAAAGGTCATCGGGCTGGGACTCCAGGACTAAGGCCTCTGCAGATGAGCCACTGCAGTGGCCAAACTACACACAATTTTTTATGTATTTGGCTTCCTCTTATTAGATTAGTTTAGATTAGATTGGATTTTATTAGACAGAACTTTGTTAATCTCTGGAGAGGTTTCCTCTGAAATTCAGATTCCAGCTGCAGCACACTGACAGAAAGAAAAATAACTTTAGCTAAGAAATATACAAAAAGGGGGAACATAAAAGAGGAAGATGCCTAAAAACAACATAGGAAATCATGAAATGAATTCAACCTGCATTCATTAATGACTTGTGTTTGTCTCATGAGACTGACTGACGTCACCACATTTTTTATTTTTCAGGTGTTTGCAGATGAAGCCAGTAATGAGCAATTTTTTATTTTTTTTGGTTGCGTTTGGACCACCAGCAAACTGAATATGAAGAATCCCTGTCAGACAACAGCGGGGGAATTTTAATTTGATCGTTGCAGTTTCCCACGTTGCCACGTCTGAGCACGCAGAACATGTAACACCGCGGCAAAGGCAACTCAGCGGAAAAGAATTTCAGGCTCATCTGGTTTCAGTGATTCAGACTAAGCCTTGAGAAGGCTTGCGTCTCAGTTTACTTTTCTGTATTATCATTTACCTCCCATCTCTTCTCAGCTCCTCTCTTTGTGGTTTCTTTGCCTGACCCTGGCCCCGGCTCGCAGACTGCGGGATTTGGGATTTACGACCACATGTCGGACACTCATCCTGAGCACTATCAGCAGAGGCCTTCAATAGACCTCTCCCTTTGTTCTTTAGCTGAGCTCATAGAGCACTCCCTAGAAGACCTTGTTCTCTGCCACTGTAATTCTCTCTTCCTAATGTTTTTAATGCTCTTCTTTCGCCACCCCTGCAGCCTTTTCATCTTTCCATCTAGATGCTTTCAGGCCTCCTTCCCCTGCCCCCTGCTTCTACGTATTATTAATGGATGTCATGCTTCTTTGACAGAAATATAGCCAACATTCCCGTGTTTAATGATAACTGTTACATATATTGGGAAATCTTGCATTCCCATGACATTGTTTGGACATTGAAATGTTCTTTATTTGCCTATACAAGTGCCTCAGTAGTGTGTATCATATTTTCTGCAACTTGTGAATCAACAGATTTATCTGAGCGAATCATTTGTAGTCCAGTTTGACTGCTCACTCGATGAACTACAAGGTTACATCTTTGTTTCTCTGGAGGTTGTCTTGTGCTCGTTTGTTTATTTACACCTTCCTTCTCGCATCTTGTCTCCGATTTCCATGCAGTTCCCTGCAAACCAGAGAAAATAAATCTGTAAAAGGCAGATATAGTCAGTGAGTGCCATTTAATTCTCAAAACATTCATTTTATCGTCCCCTTGTTTAGCAGATGTCGAAGATAAATTTTC